TTCCCCCTCTCTGACCTCTGTCCTTCCCTTTACACACATTATATTTATTTCTCTCTGTATTTCTTTGTTCCATCTACTCCCCCAAGCTTTCAATGCTCTCTTTAAAAAAAATCTCTTATTGTGAATATAACAAACATTATCATTTTCACATACAAAGAACAAAAAAAGAGAATTATATGTGAAACCACAAATCTCCATTATCTACAGCTTAGCTTTTTAAAGATTCTATAAGAAATTTAGCACATTCATTCCAAAGCTTCCTGCTTGTCTGTATTTCCTGCTGAACCTCCTTCTGTTCTCTTCTGCGCATTTTAAGAAATGCTTCACTGAGTCTTTACTTTCTCTTATGCTCTTTTTTGGCATTCCTGTTGCTGGCCCCACCCTCCCAGTTCTCCTCCAGTAGAAAAATCTATCCTTGTAACAAACAAGCAAAATCAAGCAGAAAAAAAAAAGTCTGTCTCATTCTGCACCTCTAGTCTCTCAGTTCTGAGTCACAAGGTGGGCAGTGTACTTCACTGTCAGTCTGCTGCTGCTCTGTTTGGACATTGCCTTGATCAGAGTTCTTAAGGTTTCAGGGTTGTTTTTCTTTACAACATTATAGTCACTGTATAAATTGTTCTCCTGGTTCTGATCACGTCCCTCTGGATCTGTTTATACAAGTTATCTCAAGTCTTTTCTGAATCTGTCCTTTTCATCTATTTCTTATAGTGAAATAAAATTCCATTACATTCATGTAACATGATTTATTCAACCATTCTCCAATTGATGGACACCCTCTAGTTTCCTAGAACGAGTGCCCAGTTCTTTGCTATAGCAAAAAGCACCGCTATAAATAAATTGCATGCTGCCTTGGGGAGGAGGGAGGAGAGGGAGGGGGAGAAAATTTAGAACTCAAAATCTTGTGGCAGTGAACTTGGAAAACTAAAAATAAATAAATGAATGAATGAATATTTTTTTAAAAAAGAATTTTATCAGAGAAACCCGAGAGAAAGCATTTTGAAAACCAATTAACTGCTTCTCTTCTAATTTTAGCCACATTGATTTTATTTCTGCAAATTTTGTATAATCAAAATTGTTTGTCTTCTGTGAACTTCTTGATCTTTTGTTTGGTCAAGAACATAGCTGTGAAAACTATCTCCTTCCTTGCTCCTCTTACTTGCTTATGATATTACTATTTATATCTAGGTCATGTGTCTATTTGGAACTTGTTGCGATATATGGTATGAGATCTCAGTCTAAATCTAATTTCTGCCGGACTGCTTTTGAGCTTTCACAGTAGTTTTCTATGGATAAAACAATTGAAGGAGAAATCAAACAATCAATATTTTTAAAGTATCTATTATGTGCCAGACTCTGGGAGATATAAATACAGGATTTTAAAAGACCTTGAGCTGAAGGAGCTTACATTTTACTGGAGGGAGGAGACAATATATACATGTATATTTATATACAAAATAGTTGTACAATAAATGCAAAGTCATTGGTGGCATGGATAGAACTCATAGACAAGGTTAGGAGAATGAGGAAGGGCTTCATTTAGAAGATGGCTTCTGAACTGAGCTTAGAAGGAAACCAGGGACTCTAAGGTAAGGGGGGAGGGCATTCCAGGCACAGGGGACTGCCAGTCCTAGGCTCAGAGATGGAGTATTGTGGGTGAGGAATAAAATCATTTTGTCTACAGATCATAGAGTGCATGGAGGTAAGTAATGTTTAATAAGCTTGGAAAGGTAGATCGGGACCAGGTTGGGAAAGATTTAAATGCCAAGCAGAGAAATTTACATCTGATCCTAGAAGCAATAGGGAGTCATTGGCAAGTATTGAGTAGGGAAGTGACGTGGTCAGACCTGCACTTCAGGAAAGTATTGGTAAATGTGTGGAGGTTATATTGGAGTAGGAAGAAATTTGAAGCACAGCCAATTAGAAGGCCATTGCAATAGTCCAGGTGAGAGGTAGTGAGAATCTGAACTGAGGTAGCAGTTGAGAAGGGGGTAGATTTGAGAAGTATCGAAGACCTGTAGAAACAACAAGGTTTGACAGTTGATTGGGGCAAGGATGGTGGGGCCCTCAACAGACATAGGGAAATTCAGCAGAGAAATAGGTTAGGAGGGCTAGATGATGAGTTGTATCTTAGATATGTCTGAGATGCCTATGGGATACCCAGTTTGAAACATGATAATATGCTCAGGAGAGAGTCTGGGGTTGGGTATGTAGATCTAGGAAGCATCTGCTAAAATGCTTGATCCCAGATACAGGGGAAGATCACAATGAGACAATGTCTGGGACCTCTTATGTGTCTTGAACAGTTGCAGAAACTCCTTGGTGCTGGGACTAACCTTTACAGAATGCAACAAGTCTATATCTGGAGGACAAATGCCAGAGAAGATAGCCAACTATGGGCACTCGGCAAAGCTCAAGCAATTCCTTGCCAGACGCTCATTCCAATGTCCCATGAGCAGCTTATCCCATGAACAGTTGAGTCTTCCTATCACCTCCTGGCATACTGAAGATATGAATGTTCTATCATTTGGAAGAGAGGCAGGAGATACCCCTTTTTTTCCTTCCCTCCTTCCTTCCCTTTTTCTTCCTTCCTTCCTTCCTTTCTTCCCCAACTACCACGCATTGATTTTATACATACATGGCTGTCCCCCTCAATAGAGCGCTCACTCCTTGAGAACAGGGGTTGCTTTGTTTTTGGCTACATATATATCCCCTTGCCTTGAACAGTGCCTGCCACACAGTAGGTGCTTAATAAATGCTTGTTGACTGATTCGGGCATCAATGGGAGGTAGGAATGATTCTGTAGCATCTAATGATGACTCAGTGATTTGATTCTTTTAACATCTTTGTCTTAACCTCTGCTAGATGATTTGCACCATGTTTGTTTTTCTCCTTTTTTTGCTCTTTATATCAAACCCCCTTCCTTTTCTCATGACTAAATCTTAAAAAGACACTCCTACTTTTTTCCTCATTGACCAAAGAAGACACCAAGTCTAAAATTGTTCCTTTTTGTAGTTGTTTACCTCCAAGCTGAGGAAATGGACAACCAGAGAAGGTTAAGTGACTTTCCAAGGGTTCTAGGACAAGAACAGGAGGCCGATTTCAACCCTGGCCCCCAATTTCCAGGCCCCCTGATTTCCAGTCCAGTTCAATATCCATCATCTGTCTCTGCCTTTACAGGAAAGCTCTTGGTTGGCATGATCCATTCCAGACCTAGCTAAGTGATGGACCCATTGTCCTCTGCTCTGGCCATATTGTATCAGGATTGCTGTGGTTGGAGAGGACATGGATACATTAAGAAAGGCATCTGACGGTAGTGGCTAGAGAGCTGGCCTGAAAGGCAAGAAGCCTTTAGCTGAAGTCCAGTCTCTGAGTGACCTTGGGCAGAGAAGACGCTCATCTGCGTTGGTAGGCAAAGTTTCCTCACCTGGGAATTGGTGATACCAGTTCCAACCTCTACTCCTATTGATAAACAAAAGACTGCCCCAGGGGAGAAGACTTGGATGTGGAGGAATTAGAAATAATGCCTTAAGAGAAGGTTGAAGAGGGGCAGATAGGTGGCGCAGTGGATAGAGCACCAGCCCTGAAGTCAGGAGGACCTGAGTTCAAATGTGGCCTCAGACCAAACACTTGATACTTACGAGCTGTGTGACCCCGGGCGAGTCACTTAACCCCAATTGCCAAAAAAAAAGAAAAAGAAGAGAGAGAGAGAGAGAGAGAGAGAGAGAGAGAGAGAGAGAGAGAGAGAGAGAGAGAGAGAGAGAGAGAGAGAGAGAGAGAGAGAGAAGGTTGAAGGAATTGGTTATGAATCTGGTCCAAGAAGAGAAGGCTAGGGGAGGGTTCATGGCAGCATTTGCTTCTTTCAGAACTAGGAACAGTGAGTGGAAACTGCCAGCATTGGCTTGACACGAGGAAAACCCCTCAAGAATGAGCACCCCAAAGTGGAGTGGGCTTCCTCCAGGGGGTGGGGCTCCTTCACTGGGTCCGTTCGTTCAAGCAAAAGATGAGTTTGGGGATATCTTGTGGGTGGTCTCAGCGGCTCCTTTCCGATCTGAGACTGGGAGCTTTGTAGACTCTTATCTCTTATCTTGGGCTCCTTAGCAATGCCTCCCCCAACAGGAGAAAAAGTATTGGCTATAGGGTCAGAGGAGCTGCACCCAAATCTTCCCTCTGATGCCTGGTATGATCTGGGCCACCCGGGTTGACTAACTAAAGTGCCCTCGGCCTCAGTTTATTTATAAATTGAGAGGCTGGGGTTAGACAGCCTTTGAGGTCCTGAATCCTATCAGGTCTGGGGCCACTGCCAGCAGGTGTGTGACCAGTCCCCTCCAGCCAAACCACAGGAATTTTTCTGGTTTGGGGACATCTAGGTGTCACCTCTTTTATTCTTTCTGTACCAGAAAATGTTGGACATTAGAATACCCTTACGACCACGCATGTAGGGAAAGGGAATAAAATGAGCTTGGATTTTATCCTGGGTGTCCGGTGTCTGTGGTCCTAAGAACCAGAGAAGTCCCAAAGGGTGTACAAAGGTAGCTAGCTCCCCTATCCCATCATCCTGTGGGGCCTGAGTCCATCTGTCGACTATCATTTATTAAGCACCTGCTGTGTTCCAGGCGCCACACCAAGCATTGGGAGTAGGAAGCAAGCAAAAACAGCCCCTGCCCTTGGTCGAATTGGGGAGACAGAATGCAAACAACTCGTGCAAGTGAAAAAACAGTGGGATGTATCAGCGATCTCAGAGGGAAGGCAGGGCCTCACTCTTTCTTCCCCTTCCCAACGTGCCCGCCAGTGAAATCAGGCGAAGAAGACTTTCTTCTCTCTAGAGTCGACTCAGCTGTGCTCAGACCCGCTGTCAGAGTCCGGCATGCATCCAAGAGCTCAAGGCAGGAGCCAAAACAGGGACAAAAGGGGGAAAGAGAAAAGCAGGGGGCCAAGAGTGAGGTAGGGCTTAAGACTCAGACAGGTAGGTGGTTTTTTTTTTAAGTTTTATTGATGCTTTTGATTCTCTACACTAGTTATCTCCTGATATCCCCTCCCCCCACATTTAACCCTCCCTTGTAACAATAATAACACACATATACACACAGTTAAGCAAAACCAATTGATGAAAAATGACCATATCTGACACTGAATGTAGTATTCTGCTCCTGTAGTTCCCCACCTTTCTGATGGGACAAACGGGCAGGAATGAACTCTATTCTCTGTTCTTCTAAACCAAGATGATGATTACAACTACTCTGACCTTGGCTGTCTTCCTGTTGTTTCTGCATCTCCATCCAGAGAGGCATCATGGCTCGGTGACTAATGAGCTGGCCTGGGGAGCTCTGGGCAGGAAGCCCTACAAACTGATGCCTGCTGCCTGCATATTGACTTTGAAAACCACATATTAACATTATCTATGTTCTATTGCATTTTTATTTATTTGGGTTATTTTTTTTTCAGATTACCCAGGTGTATTTTAATTTTGTTCTGGCTTCACTCAGGAGTTTTGCAGGCTGCCAGCCATGTATAAAGCACCTCTGCTCTAGGGCAGCAACTCTAGTCACAGAGAATGGTGAACAGACTTGGTAGAGGGAATTTCCTCACCTGGAAGTTCTCTATGCCAATGAAATCCCAACTGTCCATCCAACACCATCCCACTGGCAAAACAGAACAATAGTGAGTGCTTCCATTTTACACGTGGGGACTTTTTTCATGAAACATGAATTAGAATCAGAGAAACCTCAGATAAATGTAAAGAGATTATAATGGAAGCCAACCACACGTACATAGGGCTGGTGCATCCTTGTTACCCTGTCAACTGTGAGGCCTGTTTAGTCATGGAGGGAAAATGGAGAGAAAACAAGATTACAGTATTTCAAATAATCTTGGCATGAGTCAAAGACCCCAGACCAAATCCCTATGCTTTTATCGGGTGGTCACTACTTCTTTTTTTTTTAACAGCTTATTTTCAAAAGGATACAAAACAACAGCAAACTACCAGTGAGTGGTAACATAAAGAAACTGCACTTGGGAGCAGCTGGTCAAACCATGTCCCAGTTTTTCTGTTGCCCTGGAAATACTGAGGGTGGGGGTGGGGTTGAATATTGCTTGGAAGAGCAGGGCTTGACTGTCATGTTCTAGAGAGGAAAGGAGGGCCTTGTCCCTGCAGGTAGAGGGCTGCAGAATCATAATAGGGCACCAGACACTTTGCAGCAACATCTAAAGCTGATTTCCATTTTCATGATATGAGTGTGAAGAAGTAGACACATAGCCAAAAGCACAGAGTGGTGAGTGGCCTCTGGGCAGGCTGCAGAATTGTATTTATATTTGAAGATCCAGGCTGGGGAGAAGGGTCCCTGTCTGTGAAAATAAACAGCACAGATTTGTCAGGAAGGAAGATCCACGGGAGGCCTGGCCCCTTGCCCTAAAGGGAAGGACTCAGGTCTTCAGAAGCAGATCTGCTGGGATTCCTGGACCCCTGTGGGTGAAAGGTAAGGCTAGAAAGTCTGGCCTCCTTTATCGGCCTTTGAGGCCAAGCCAGCCTTAGTTGTGTGACATTGGGTAAGTCAAGTAATCTCTCTTGACCTCACTTTCCTTATCTGAGAAATATGCATAATAATACATGCTATGCCTACCTTGCAAGGTTATCAGGCTCCAGTGAGATAATGTTTGCAAGGAATGTGTAAATTTTAAAAGTGAAGGCTATTGTTTGAAAGATAAAGTCATTAGTGTACATTGGCTGCCAAAAAGCTGAGGGAACCTTGGATTGCATCAGCAAACATATAATGTCTACAACTTCTAATGATTCTTAACCCAGGGTCTATGAACTTTGTTTTAAAATATATATATCTTGATAACTATATTTCAGTATAATTAGCTTCCTTTGTAATCCCACATAGCTTATTCTGTGCATTCGAAAACTGTAATCTGAGAATGGATCTATAGGCCTTACCACACTGCCATTGGGGTCCATGACACAGAGAAGGTTTAGAACCCTTGGGAAGAGGAGGCAATGGTCCTTCTCTCCTCTACCTTCATCAGACCACATCTGAGGTCCTGTGTTCAGTTCGAAGCACCACATTTTAGGAAGGACGTTGACAAACTAGAGTGTGTCCTGAGGAGGGTGGCCAGGATTCTGAAGGGACCAGAAACCCAGCCAGGACAGGATCAGTTGAAAAAGCTGGGAGTCGTTAGCCTGAAGACCTCGAGGGAGCATGGTGGCTGATTTCAAATACGAGAAGGTATGTCATGGAAAAGGGGATTAGACCTGTTTTTCTTGGCCTCAGAGGGCAGAACAGGGACCACTGGGGATAAGCTACAGAAAGGCTGATTTTGGCTCAATGGAAGGGAAACCTTGCTAACCATTGGTGCTATCCAAGGGAGAATGGGTGGCCTTGTAAGGCTGTCAGTGAGGGCCTTCTTACCAGAAGGCTCCAAGCAGAAGCTAGATGAGAACGTGTTGAACATGCTGGGCAGTAGGGGTGGGGGAGGGGAGGAATTCATTCATGCCCCAAGTAGGGGCAAGACCACCACACAGGTCAGATGATGGACCCTTCAGCACTAGGGGTCTTTGCTTTTCTGAATACCCTATACCTCTATACTCCTCTTTCTTTAGCCAGAATCGCAGAGGCAGAAGAAGAAACTGATGGGCAAAAGACTGGCACGGCTTCTTGAAAGGGATCATAGGTCCACAGAATTAGAGCTGGAAGGGTCCTTAGAGGAGATCTATTCCAACACCCTTATATTACAAATGAGAAAACTGAGGCCCAGAGTGGTTAACGGACTTAGGCAGCTAGGTGGTACAAAGGATAGAGCCCTGGACCCAGAATCAGGAAGGCTGGAAGAAGGGCTGGAGTCTGAGACTGTCCTCGGACATTTACCAACCAACTGTGCAACCCTGGGCAAGTGACCTCTGTTTCCCTTAGTTTCTTTATCTCTAAAATGGGGATAATAATAGCACTTAGGAACAAGCTGATTACGAACTCCAAGTGCTTGGCAAACCTTCATGTTAACAATTAGCTATTAGTATTGTTGCCCAAACTCACATGGACAGTAAGGAGCCGAGTCAGGATTAGAACCTGCATCCTCTGGATCTCGGATCACTGAGCTTGGCACATGGACGATCAGAGGGGATGGGGAGGGGGTCTACCTCTAAAGAAGGGTGCCTGGTGTCAGAAGATCTGTGTACAAGACATCTCAAGTGGCCCAGAATACATTCTTCTCTAGCTCTGATCCATGTCCCATTCTCTCACTGAGCAGATGAAGGTTGACAGCTGTGGTTCTTTTTATAGGAGCCAAGTATTTTTTGTGACATGCCGAACACCAGGAGAGTGAGATTCACACATGCAGGCGCCCAATCACCCTACAGTCTTGCACAGTAAGGACATTGGCAAAGACCCCCACCCCCAGTCCAACACACAGTCTTAGATCTGGTCACCTCATGTGTGCCGTGCCTGTGCTCAGACAGGCACGGGTAATGAGCATTCAGAGTCACACAGTGCTTTAAAGGGTATGCTCAAAGAATAGATATACCATTTGTACTTCTTTCTCTGTGTGCCCAACCCCTCTTGCCCTCTCCCCACCCCAAAATGTGTGTGTGTGTACGTGTGTGTGTGTGTGTGTGTGTGTGTGTGTATAAGCTTGTCTGACCCTCACAAAGAGCTGGCAAGGTAGGGATTTTAGGCATTATTAACTCCATTTTATAGTTAAGGAAACTGAGGCTCAGTAGGGTCAAGTGACTTGCTCAGAGGCACATAGCTAGCAAGCATCAGTCCTAACTTGTGCTTTGAAATCATGGTTTCCCTCCTTGGTTTGTTTTTTTTGTTTTGTTTTGTCTTTATAACACAATAACGTACACGCACAACCTAACACCAATTATAAATCCACTTACATTTATGTACAGATAAACCTATACAAAACATAACCTGTGCACTGTCTATATGTACCAGGAAGGGAATTGGCTCGATGGAGACCCAGAGCCCAGCTAAGCAGCTGAGCTCTCTTAAGGCACGAGGCAGAATAACAACAAAGAAAAATAACTGGAGAACTGGGAGAACGAGAAGGGCTGGCCCTTCCCACTTGGCCAGGCTGACCTCTGGGGTGTGATAGGGGGAACTGAGAAGGTCTCCCTGCTCAAAACAGCCCCCTGCCTGCCTGCCACCTGTTGCAGGGCTGGAAATCCCACCCTTTGTGTCCCTCCTTGGCGAGGTAGGGCTTTGTCTCCAGCCCTAGCTTTCCTCTTTCCCACTCTTACCCCCATTAAAATGTAAATAGATTGGCCTGTAAAAATTATCCCATTTAGCCAAAGTTGTTTTTTGTTTTTAAACACAGATACTGGGGGAGTTTGGTGGGAAACTTCCCCAGAGAGTGGGAAAAGGTGTCAGGAGAGGCAGGGAGTCCTTCATGTCTAGGGACTGGTAGGGGAGTGAATAAAACCAGACTTAGGAGGACACTAGACCCCTGAAAAGGAGATCGAGTGAACCAGAACATTAGGAAGCTATTGCTACCCTGGAGAGGAGGGTCCAGAAAGGGAAGAAACAAAAACTCACTTGGGTGACTTGTAAGGAAAGGGATACCTATTTTTAATTTGGGGTGACCTGTAGAGGGCAAAATTATTCTGTATATGAAGTGACCTGGAAAGTTATGTGAAATTGCTCATTCCCCTTTTAGGGCAGAAGAAGGAGGGATATTTACTTAACTAAGCGATTAGCTACCAGTAGTAAGACAGAACATTTACCAGCCACTATTCAATCAGTAGGCTTCCTGATTACTGGATAGTGAGCCTAGGAGAGTGACTGGCCCTATGGGCTCCATCCAAGGAGTAGAGATGGGTGAATCCCCAAACTGTGGAAGGTGTAGAGGGGAGTACCATGCTCATATGGCATCAGAAGGGCACCAGGTATTATGGCTTGGGGTTCCTGCTCTGATAAGAATGGTGTGAGCCCCACCAGGCTTGTGGAACTATAGGAAAGGATTAAGTTAGCAAGTATAGGTGCCACTCTGTCTGGACCAGGGTAGTTCCCTTTCATATGCCTCTCTGATGACCTGAGCCTGGTATTATATTTCTGAATTTGTATATTCTCTTTTTCCTAGTAAATAAACCCAAGAGAATGTACTCCTGTGGTCCAGAGAGGCTGAAGGCAGGTGATAGAATGGGAAAAGGGAGAATGACTGCTCATAGCAAAACATGGCTGGGGCAGAGAAAGGGGAGTGGGTAACTGGGGTGTGGTACAGTAGATCTCTGAACCCCCAAAGCAGGGCTGGCTCAGGAGCTATGGGGTGATGTTTAATGATTAGGACAATTCCCAAAATAGTAAAATGGTAAAAGCCTTAGGTCAGAAAGCAAAAGCCTGCTAGACCAGTTCCGTGAAGAGAAGCAAGGGCCCTGAGGTATCTGATTGTTTTAGTGTGGCACAGTATTAAACACACTGGCTCTGGAGTCCAAAGGTCCTGGGTTCTAATCCTGTCTCTGACATTTATCACCTATATGGCCTTGTGTTGTCACATAACCTCTCTGGACCTTAAGATGAGGGGGATTGACCTCTGAGGTTCCTTCTACCTGGAGAGCAGGGTGTCTTTTCACGAGTCCTAGACCCCTAGGTCAGGCTGGTGAAGTCTATGGACCCCTTTCCAGAATCAGGTTTTGAAATGCATCAACTAAAATACATGGGATCATAAAAGAAACCACTTCTATTGAAATATTATATCAAAATATTCTTTAAAAGCTTGGATCCTGGGTTAAGAACCCGTACTATAAGTCTGTGATATAAGCCGAAGGCCCAGGCTTAGACCCTTTAAACATTTTCCCATTGTGCTCTGGGCCCATGGGGGGTGAGGGGAAAAGCTTAGGTCTTTAAATATTTCCGCCAGACTCCCCAGAGTCACAGAGCCTCCTGAGAGCTTCTCAATCCAAGCCTTTAATGGTCCAAGGCCTTCAGTGGCTATGTTGGGAGCCAGCCAGCTGGGCAGCTGGAACCTTCTCCATAATCCCAGCCCTTTCCTGGGGCCACGGAGCTGTGGTTACTATTTAGTGAAGGTTCACCCACCTCAGTCTCTACTCCTATTGAGTTTGTGAGTAGGAGCATGAGGCCTGAAGCCTGCCTGGCATTCCTTACTAAACTCGGGACTGGGTGTTCCAATTCTTCCGCTCTATTACAGGAACACTTTTGTGGTTGTGCTATGTGAATTTATGAAAATTAAAAGTCGTATTTCTCTGAACCCATAGCCTCACGGGTGCCCCTGAATCAGAAGCGGGTATAGAAAGTTCATTGACCTGCCCCTATACCAATATGTGAGAGCAAGATGGGGCCTGAAGAGGCAGACAAGTCTGCTGTCAGATAAATGATCGTTTCCCCCACACCCCTGGTGGACCCTCTCCTGCTTCCCAGTGAACCTCCTTGGCATGAAATCTCTGTTTCAACCCTGGGTTTAGCCTCACCCTTGACACCTAGACATTCTTGAGAAGTCTGGCTCCTGGCTTGACCTGCTTCTGGTTGACATTTTTGTTTGGATCTCAATATCGGTGGTCCCTTTTCCCTTAACGTGGAGGGGATTCCTCAAGACCCATGGTTCCTGGTGCCATTTATATAAAACCAAAGGTAGGGGAAACCCCTGAACTTAGGTGGTGGTCAAGTCTTCTCCCACAGAGAAGATACACAATTAGGCAATGAGGGGCCTACCCCCAGCTCTGCCTGGCCAGGAGACCATGAGGTTTCCTGGTCAAGGTATTATTCATATTATCCCCAAGGAGTGGAGTAAGCTACCCCTCTGCAGCTTGACCTAGAGTGGGCCAGGAAGGTGTAGATAGCTTCAAGCCTGGAGTTTCCTGTCCCTGGATGGTAAAGCCAACCTCGGGACAGGACAGAGTTTGGGCAGACTGAGCAGCATCTCAGGCTTCAGAGTTTGGGCCCCCACACTCACCTCCAAGAGAGATAAGTCATCCATCTCTTCCAGGGTCTAAAGGCAAAAAACAAGAGTCAAAAGCCTAGTAGCTGATACACTTCCAGAGTCACTATAGTGATATTGCCTAGGAAGATGACAAGACCAGCTGGAGCCATGGGGACATGGTGGTGCAGTGAGCTAAGGGGCCATCACTTGGAAACTCCCAATTCAACATCATGAAATGCACTAAGCCCATACTTCCTCGACAGTGATTGGCGCATAGTAAGCATTTAATAAATGCTGATTGACTGAGTGACTGACCTACTAGGGTCAAAAGACCTAAGCCTATATATGTTCCAGTTCTGTCACTCACTATCTGTGTGACTTTGGGTAAGTTGTTTAACTTCCTTAGGATTCATTTTCCTCATCTGTAAAATTAGAAATGTAACAACAGTAAGGCATTCCCTATCAATTTCAGGGAATCAGATCAGGTGAGATATTATATGAGAATTGCTTGTAAAACCCTAACATTTGGTACAAATGTCAGGTAGTTTTATTGTATTATTATTATTAATTATGGACTTGATTGGGGATCAGCAGTTACACCTGAGCCTCCTGCTTTAGCCAAAAGACACCTTGAGTGCTGGAGATGTTGACTCCTCAGATTCCCCATACTGACCCTGCCAAGGGTACCAAGTGAAGACAACTTGGACCTTCCTCTCCTCCACAAGTAGTTCTCCCTTCTCTCATCTTCCCTTCCTCTCCTTCTGCTGCCCCACTCAACTGTCTCTGCCTCCCTGTCTATCCGGGGCCAAGGCCTGAGGCCTTGAGAGGTAGCTGATCACTGGAATTAGGGAGGTCAGTGGGCTCAGCCACCACGTCAGCCTGGCTCTGCCTACATGCCGCCCAGGTAACACCCCGGCCCCTGCTTAGCTCAGCATCTTCCCTTTTCCCTCCTTCTGGTCCTGCCCCCAGCATTGCAAATGCTAGATTAGAGCTGGAAAGGTCCTTAAAGGCCACCATTTTATATATAAGAAAAATGAGGCTCAGAGAGATTAAGAGGTCACCTACAGTCATATAGCTACTAAATGTCCAAGGTGGGATTTGAAGCCAGATCTGGCACCCTATATACTACCCCACACTGTCTCCAGGGACACTCTCTAGTTTGGGTATGGCCTTAGAGCTACCATCCTGCCCCAGTCACCTTGGCCAGAGTCTCCCAGCTTCGACCCTTGGCCTTGGCTGTGGCCATCGGCTCTCCCGTCTCCATGATGTCTTGGTCTATCCTGCAGGACCCATCTTGGTTCTTCACGGTCAGGCTTGCAGCACCCATCTCCATGTTGTTCCAGCCCTGCGAGGAACTCATGAAGAGAAAAGTCATCACGCTGGGCTCTATGCTTAGGTTCTGAGCCACTCTATTTCTTTGATGGAGGAAGGAAATGTATCCCCTTGAAGAGCAGAAAGGAAACCTCTCCTTTTCTCGGGGCCCAGCCCTTCTTTCACTTGGCCACAATATCTTCTAGTATGGTCCTCTAAACCCAAGCCCTGCTTTCCTCTCTCCATGCTGCTCCCTAAAATATTCACCAGGTTTTCCTGGAAAGATTTGAGAATTCAAATCCTAGGCCTTATGGTTTCAGAATCTGTTACAGAGAGTGTGTGTATATGTGTGTGTGTGTATGCAAAACTCTGTGTATCTATACATTTATCATGTCTACATGTGTCTGAATTTATTGAGTTTGCATAAGGTCTGTGTGTGTGCCTGTGTCTGTAAATCTGTTGTATGGGTGAGTGCGCTCAACCTGGAGGAGTTAGGACAGGAGGCAGGATAGGGAGTTTGCTGTCTCAGAGGGTCTAACACCTGCAAGTCCAGTAATGTGGCTAGCGGGTCATTGCCTTGGCCCGTGACTAAAGCTGATCAGAAATGTTTCCTTGCCTTGCTCACAATCCCCTGTCCACGCCTAGGACCTTGGCCCAGTGGACAGACTGGAGGCCAGAGCTAGTATCGCTCCTGAGCAGGGCACATGGCGAGACCGTCAGCTTGCCACCTGCTGACTTTTGGTGAGCCCCCACTGCGTGTGAGGTCTATCCATCCAGGGCACATAAGACAGGAAGTACAGTCCCTACCTTCAAGAAGCTTAGGCTCCACTGGGGGAGACTGAAAGGATAAATCCACATGAAAGAAATTTTCAGAGCAATTTATCAGCAACTGGAAATGAAGAAGAGACTGAATTGAGGAAGGAAGGAAGTCTGAAGGACGCTGGGTGGATAAAAGCTGAATGTAGGTGACTCGCGGCTGCATCTTGCTCCCTCCTTTGAAGAGGCAGTGATGGGCCAGGGTCTTTCCCTGCATGTCACCTGTGTCTGAACCCAGAAACTCCAGTTCACCTGCTTATTGATCCTTGGTAGCTTAGTGTTTATTCTGCTATCAATTAACTGTATGACCATGGCCAAGTCAGTCTCCTCTGGGCCTCAGTTTCCTTTTCTGTGAAATTATGGGGCCGGACTAGATGATCTTTCACATTGTATGATTCAATGGGCTAGTCCAGAGGCCACGTGGTACCGTGGGAAGAGTACTGGACCAGGGCTCAGAGGACCCAGGTTCTGGTTCTGACCTTGCTATGTTACTTTGGACAGGCCAGTTCATTCCTCTGGCTTTCCTCCCTTCATCTGTCAAATGGAGGAGATAGTATCTGCCCTACTGGGTATGAGTGCTGAAGAAGGAATTCTGGGAGAGTCTCTGCAATTTAAATTGAGTTGATGTGGATAAAAATAACTTGGAGAGGATAAGCTGCTAATACACATGCAAAGTGGCATTTTTCCTACTGTAGTCATGCAGCATTCAATTGTGTACCAATCATGTGCCCCAAAATGGCCCTAAGAGGCCTGGAGCCCAACCTGAACCTGAGCACGTGTCTTCTGTACAGCATCTCCAACAAGTGATGGCCTAGTCTTTGCATGAACCTCCAGTGATGGGGAACTCACTACCCACTTTTTGGATAGCTTTCATTAAAAACATTTCCTTCCACTGAGCCTCAAACAGTCTCTCCGTTAGTTTTACAAGTTACTCCTAGTTCCTTGGCCCTAGAAGACAGAAATCCAATCTCCCTTCTCCAGAATAGTCCCTCAAATACCTGAAGACAGTGGTCATATCCACTCTGCCTTTTCTTCTCTAAATTAAACGGGCCTTATTCCTGAACCTGATTCTCAGCTGGCAAGGTCTTGAGACATCTCACCCTCCTCTGGAGGGTGTCCATCTTATAAAAGTCTTAAATAAAATGGGGCACCAAGGACCAGGCATGAGACTCCAAGTCTTATCTGACCAGAGCAGAACGTAGTAGGTCATTCTGGACCTCATACAGACTAAAAACATTTTTTTAAATGTCAAACATAGAGTTAGTTCCAAAGCTGATGTTGATAAAGGTCTCCAAAAACTTATCTCAGGTCCCTGTTCTCCTGCTTCTGAGGCTGATTAGGTTCTGGCCCATTTCTAGGTGCGGGCTTGGAATGGGGTGGCAAGGAGGAAGAAGGAGGAGGATCTTTTCTACCCTGAGACTACCCCCAAGGATTCAGCCCAATATGTACCCCTGCCTCTTCAGTCTAGGGGAACAACTCGACTTAGGTCACATAAATTTCCAGATTCCAAAATTTAATCTAATATTCAAGGCCTTCCATATTCTAGCCCTGACCTTCCTCTTCCCCCTTAACTTTTGCTTCTTCCTTACACAGACTCTAGGTGCCAAAGTCCTCTCATCACTGTCTTGAATACCAACCACCACATTCATTTCCATCCCATGCCTTCTTTCTAATGCTGCTCCCTGCTCCTCTCTGCCTATCCAAATTCTACATACCTTTCAAGGCCCAGCTGAGATCTGGTCTTCTCCATGGGACCTATGTGCTAAATATTATTTCCTCCTCCTAAGAACACATACGAGTACTTAATACCAGAATCATACAGTCTAATCGTTGATAATCTGGCTTGTACTGTTGTTATCTCATTGTTTTATGGGTGAGACTCAACTCCCCTACTGTTTATGAGCTTTTTGAGGTGTATAGACTCTGCTTTCTCTTTATCTGATTTGTCTCACATCTGGCACAGGGCTTGCCACCCAGGAGGGTTAGACACACTGAGTGGCTCAGGTCATCTCTTGGGCAGACTTGGGGTCCTGAGTCACCCTGGGCTGCCAGAGGTAGGAAGTGAAGATCTCTGCCTGGAGCGCCTTCTCTATGAGGACCTTGGGGAGCACTGGACCCCAGAGGCGGCATAGGGAGCTAGCCCAGGGAGCGTCAGGAATACTTACGACTTCACTGTCAGAACCCAAGGATAGCTGGCATCTACCTCGAGACTGCCAGCTGATGGCAGACGCTTGGCTGGTCATGGTCGAGCGATGGGTGAAGTGGTAACTACTGAAGGATGGAGTGCGGGGGTGCCTTACACCAAGCAAGGCCCTAAGGCATGGAAAGTTCTGGGCGATGGCCATTCTGGTGATGAAGAAACACAGCTGGTTTCACTTTGTGTCATCTTGGGCCTCCCTACTGTGAAAGACACTAAAATGGTGAGAAAAAGATACCCCACTCTCCTTCCCCCCAGTCCTCTCTAGGACTGTGAAAGCATCATAGTGTCCACAGAGTAACAGAAAAGAGCCGTGGCTCTGGGTTCAAATCCTGTCCCTGATACTTGCTACCCACATGACTGTGGGAAAGTCATTTAAATTGTCTGGGCTTAATCTATAAAATAAGGGGCCTGGACTAGGTGATCTCTCAGGTCCTTTCTTGCTCTAAACCTTATGATATCTATGATCCTGAGATGCCCCCTCAGCAGAGGAGGGGCTTTTACCCTTCCCAGGGTAAAAGCAGAGACCTCAGCAAGTATCACAGAATGTTGGAGCTGAAAGGGGCCTCAGAAATCCCTTAGGCCAACCCCTTTATTTTACAGATGAAGAAACTGAGGCCCAGACAGTTTAATCACATAATCACATGGCTAGTAAGTGGCTGGTCTTAAACCCAAATTTGGTGCTCTTTCCACAATACTGTAGAAGTATCCCTAGAAGAAAGGAATGGACCAATGTCAGGATAAAAAACAAACCAAAAAAATCTCATATACCATGTTTTGGCTATGCCGCCTACATGAGGACATGATTTTCTAGACCCTGGATGATTGAAATTTCCAAGTAAGCCTTGGAATAACAAGGAAGAGTCATGATTCTGGGAGCATCTTGTTAGGACTGAGTCTAAAATGGAAAGAAGAAATTCTTAGGCCTCCTCAGGAAAAAAAAAAAGCATAATAAATGGATGGATTTTCCCAACTCACTATCTCCTACTTCGGTTGACTCAGCAAGCCTTGGCCTTGACATCCCTGACAAATGGGTCCACATCCCAGGGAGATAGTTGCAAATGCCATAAGAAAAAAAACGGATGCAGAAAAAAATGGCTTCTCCTTGCCAACACTCCTCAGCTGCTCCTTCATAAATATGTAGAGCTTTCATCTGTTCAGAGTGTTTCCTTTGCAGGTGCTTATCCAGAGTGTCAGCCCCCTGGCTACAAGGGTTCCACATCTTTCTTCCATAAGCATCCATAAGAGACTAGGGAAGGGCCCAGGAGATGCTAACAAGGACAGCTATTGCTGAGCCAGGGATAAAGACTGTCTAGCCCAGGGGTACATCCCATGCCTAGCACCTCTAATAGCTTACAGTATGGCCCTACGCCTAAGACTTTCCTTAAGGACACACGAAGCAGGGCAAGATAGATTTGTGCAAGGAAAGCTGTCCAGGTAAACCAAACCTCAGCGGTTTGGGACTGGATCAGAGAGTCTATGGGACTCTGAAAGGAAGGCATGCAGAATGTGTTAAGAATAAAGCATGACTTATAAGCGAGTGCTGGTAAGGAGGAGAGGGTGGGGAGCTGTCGAACTTACCTGTACTTGGGGTGGCTGATGGCATAAATGATGGGATTGTGGATGGCAGAGGCCTTGGCAATGATGGCTGGCACTGAGTTCATATAGGGAGTCAGGATGTGGGAATACCTGGGTGGGGGAAACCAGAGCTGAGACCAATGTTGCTGGCAGAGGAATATCTTGTCTAACTCTCTCCACCCCCCATTCCCTGAGGTATGAGCCTATCCATTGCCTGCATAGACCCATTTATTCAGATGTATCTGTCATGTCCAGCTTATCCCCTCGAAACTCGTCTCTCTGGTTTGTCTTACTGGAAGTACAGGAGAACCAGCAGTACAAGAAAGTGGAAGTGCATCTGGGTTAGGGGGGCGGAAGGGGAGGTCATCAGCAAGGGAGGCTGGAGGAATGACAGTAGCAAATAGGCCCCTTTCCTCTGGTGACCATTAATGGTTTCTAATGCATACTCATCTGACACTTGGGATTGTGCTAGGGCCTTGGAAGGTCATGTAGTTCATACTCCTGCATTTAGGGAGAGTTATACTTAGCTTCATCAAGCATATGAGACTGTCCTCTTTGTAAAACATCCTGGCCAGAAAAGTCCATTCTTGTCTTTGGTTACCCATTTCATTGATTAATAACCTTGACTTTGTGAATAGTGTGCAGCTAGGTGGTGCAGTAAATAGAGCACTGAGATTGGAATCAGGAAGACTCATCTCCTGAGTTCAGATCTGGTCTTAGACACTCACTAGCTATGTGACTCTGGGCAAGTCACTTAACCCTGTTTGCCTCAGTTTCCTCATCTGTAAAATGAGATGGAGAAGGAAATGGCAAACCACTGTAGTATCTCTGTGAAGAAAACTTCAAATAGGGTCATGAAGAGTTGGATACAACTGAAAAATGCCTTAACAACAAAAATGTGAATAGTATCTATGCAGTGCAATTGCCTTCTTGCTGCGTATTCTTAATTTCCTCTGACCATCCTCAGAAAAGACCAACATTAGCAAGGGTCTAAGTAATAACAGCAATAACACTTTCCAATATTTGCAAAGGACTAAGAATTCTGAGGCAGGCACCCCTTCCACTGCCCAGTTGTTCTATACCTAAATGCATGGTCTTCATGAATTGCTGTGTCCAGGAAAATCCATCACCTGGTGGCAATGAGTCTGTCAGTGTTCGGCCAGTGTAGGGAGTCCTTGGGCAAGATATTCAGTCTGTCATTAGGTCTATATGCAAAACTTTTCTGGATTGGTAGGAGCTGCCAGAAACAACTTGGACTCTGCTGGAATAGTCTTTGGGAACTCAGGACCACCTCCATGCCAGGCAAGGCATTAGAGGAGGGCTTTCATGAAGTAATAATGATAATTAGGATAATGGTAATGGTAGCAGTCTTCCTGGGGAATGTGCTGGCTCCCAGCTGGGCTAATAATCACTAATAGCTACATTATTGTATAATATTTATATATTTATTTTTGTATTATCCTATTTATATAGTACATTAAAGTTTGCAAAGCAGTCTACAAATATCTCATTTTATCATTACAGAAACTCTGGAGATAGATGCTGTTATTATCCCCATTTTCTAGTTGAGGAAACAGAGGCAAAGAGAGGTGAAGCGACTTGACCAGGTCATACAGCTAGTAAGTATCAGAGGCTTGATTTGAATTCGGGTCTTCCTAACTCCATATCCAGTGCTCTATCCACCTAGCTGCCTCTAATCCAATCTCCAACAAAGGTGCTTATTCCATTGAGTTCTCTGCTCATTGCAATGGTCCCAAATGCCCTGCTGCCTACTGGTGCCTAAAAAGAGGTAAGGGATATATAGACAATGGGCTATAGAAATCTATGCTGCCCTACAGGAAAATAGAAGGGGAAGAGGATAAACGGGGGGGGGGTGATAGAAGAGAGGGCCGATTAGGGGAAAGGGTATTCAGAATGGATGCCATCTTGGGGTGGGGGTAGGGGCGAGATGGGGAGAAAATTTGGAACTCAAAATCTTGTGGAAATGAATGTTGAAAACTAAAAATAAGTAAATTAATAAATGTTTAATATAAAAAAAGAGGTAAGGGCCTGGGGAAGGAGGCACAGCCCCACAATAGCCTCAGAATCCCAACTATAGCTCTCAAATTCTTTTTTATGTCACAGGATCATAGATATAATAGAACTAGAAGGGCCTTGGAGCCCATCACATCCAACTCCCTCATTCTATACATGAACACACTAAAGCACAGAGAAGTTGATACTTGCCCAAGGTCACACAGTCTAGTGTGTGTCAGAGGAGGGTTTTGAATACAGTCTTCCTAACGCGAGGCTAAAAATTCTATTCATTACACCATAGTTAACATACTACAAATGCTCCCTGCTCAGTAAATTCATTTTCTAGAGGAGGTAACACTGTGTACCAGGATAGTGATAGAAAACATAGAATCCCATCATTTATTTGATCTATACCCTAGCATTTAGTGGGACGGGAAGGGTCTCATACTGAATTAGAAGATTGCCCAACCCTTCCTGCTGAGACAACCTAAGCTCTCTGCAAAGGGGGCAAGGTTGACTCTGTGGGAATTTTCTGGTGAGATAATTACCCAGCAAAGGCCACGAGGGCCACTGTTGAATAAGGGGCCCAGGACAGCACATACAGCAGGATGACCACCAGAGCGATCTTTGCCATCTTCCATTCATTCTTTATCCTTTGACAACGCCTGAGGGATGCCATGGTCTCACTAGATCCAATGTTCTGAACAGCCCTAGGGAAATAAGCATGGGAACATGGTGGTTTATCCCAGAATCGCTCTTGGGATTAGTACATCAGCCCAATGGCCATTGGTGGGCATACTAGGGAGTGGGGAGGTAGGTGATGATGAATAGTGAACTCTTTGTTTGGAAAAAGAAAGTCATATTCATTAGAATGGAGACAGATGACTCTGAGCATTGGAAGAAGGTAACCACCCCCAGTAGCTACAAAATGTCAGACTGACGCTCATCTGGTTTAATCAGTAAACGTCAACTTCGTCTGAGCAGCTCAAAACTCAACATAAACACCATCCCTCAGGTAGGCTTTTCATTTCCAGAGTACATCCATGTCTCCAGCTCTATTTGTCTTCACAACATCCCTATGAAATAGATAGGACTTGGATGGTTTTGTTGGTTTTCTACATGGAAGAACAGGGCCAGAAAGGAGCAAAGAATGAATGAATCAAGGAATGAGAGCCTAGATCTCTGGCCTTCTTACTTATTACTAACAAGGTCATAGTATATAAAGTCAGAGTCCAAATTTCTCATCTTACAGAAGAGGAAACAGAGGTCCAAAGAGGTTATGGAATTTGTTCAAAGTCACATAAGTGGGAAAGAACAGGTAGGGGCTTCAAAGTCATGCCCTGTGACTCCAAATCCAGTGCCCTGGCCACATGTCCCTCCTTCCACTTTCCCCAGCAGGTAGGAGGGAGGGACTGCCCCAGGAAGCTCACTTGTTGGTGTCCTGAATGGCCCTAAAGATGAAGACGTAGCAGTAGATGATTACAATCAGGGGAATGAAGAAGACAAAACAGAAGAGCAGCATGGTGTAAGCCCGGACAGATGGAGTGAAGGTTGTGTAATCCCAGGAGCAAGATGTGAGCAGCCCCTCAGGAATATAGGCACCTAGGAAGGGGATCCAAAGAAGAAACCATTTCACAAACTCCATCCGCCTCAACAACAAGACATCCTGTAAGTGAGTCTTCCTCAAAGAGCTGTTCCTCGGACTGCCCTTTTATCCTTACACTTCACTCACCAGTCATCTTCTTGACTCATCCTCTTCCAGATGCCTTTCCAACTTCAAACAAAGCCACAGAAGTCATTCCCTTTACCAGAGGCCTGCTCAGTGTACTAATCTTACCCACTGGCTACATATCCTTAAGGTTCTTTAATAGGAAGCAATCCCAATCATGGTGAAATTTTCCCATCATCTAGCTTAGCTGGCCTACCCTGCTGATCTTTTCTTGTTCCTCTTCTACCAACCCCTCTTTTCATGTCCCAAAAGCGTACACCATCGAGGAAGGAAAGGGTCAGGCAAACACACTCAACTCCATCCAAAGAAAGGTGGAAGGCTCCAGGCCAGCGAGTACAGCCAGACTCCAAGGAGAATGAGTCCAGTCTTCTTTTTCGATGTCATGCCGATAGAGGCCAGAGGGCGCGTGATCACAAAATACCGGTCCAGGGCAATCGCCATCAGCGTTATCATGGAGGTGATGCCAAAGAGAGCCCCAGAGAAGGCATAAAATTCACATCCTACATATAAATGCACAGAGAAAACCCATTCCCAATCAATTAATCAATAACATTGATCATGCATCTAGTATTACACAACCCTTGCTAGGTTGTAGGGGAGACAAGGAAAGCTCAAAGAATCACATATTTCGATCTGGAAGAGATCTTTGGAGTCCACTGAGTCAAACTCCTTTATTTCAGCAATGGGGAAACTGAATCCCAGAGAGGTTCATGACCTGCCCAAGGTCACACAAGTGGCAGGGGAAGAATTCAAACCCAGGGCCTTTGATTCCAAAACCAATACTCTTTCTATGGTACTACTCTAATAATGTGACTCCTGAATGCAAGAAACTTAGTGTAGTTTAAAAAATAAACCGTACCTAAGTGAAATAGCAATGTTCCTTTTCACCACCCTCTGGCTCCCTTGTTTCTCCGCCATCACTCCCTCAGCCACTTTTCTTAGTGATAAAAATACCTCATGTTTGCTTGCATTACTATCTCATTTGAACCTCACACACCCTGTGAGGTAGGAGGTGTGAGAGCAGGAGGCTGGGCTGCTTGGGAAGCTTCAGTCACTTGTTCAGGCTTGTGTGGCTAGGAAGGTGTGGAGCTAAGGCCTGATCCTAGGCTTCTGGTTCCTGTTCAGGTGCTCTTTCCACTCTGCCATCCTGTCTCCTTGTTGAACGCCTATCCTGGGCCCTGCCCTATACCAGATGTTGTGAAGGATTCAGGGCCTCGAAGAATTTGCAATCAAACACCAGCCAGCAATCCGAACAATATAATTAGGGTGTGTGTGTGTGTGTGTGTGTGTGTGTGTGTGTGTGTGTGTGTGTGTGTGTGAGAAAGCCTCCAGGTGCTTCAGAGATATGGAACATGAAGGGATTGAAATGGGCTGGGATAATCAGGAGCTAGTACCTGGTCTGGGCCCTGAAAGGTAGGTAGGATTTGAACAGATGGGGGAAAAAGAGGGAAAGGGTTTTAGGAGGGGGGTGATCCTAGAAGTAACCATGAATATATTGTATTTGTGGAACAGCGGAGGGACTGGTTGGGTGGGAGAGTGAGGTAAGAACCTAGAGAAGGCAGAATGGGGTGGGGGAAATAGCACTTTATTTGGAGTCAGAGAATTTGAGTTCAACTCATAGAAGAGGTGAAGTGACTTTGGTCCATTTAACCTCCCTAGGCCTCAGTTTACTGATATGTAAAATGAGAGAGGCATTCCCTTCCATCTCTAATTCCATGGTCCTATGACCTCCTGGGACTCAGTTTCCTCCTCTGGAAAATGAGAGGGTTTAACTAGATTGTTTCTGATGGCCCTTCTGGCCCCAGATCTGTGATCCCATGAGGCTGTGAGGGCTGGGGGAATGAGGTGGAGGAGTCTAGAAGTGATGCCATCAGCAGTAGGGTTGTACATCTAGAAATGGAGGACGTGACCCAAATGATTTTCAGGTTGCTCTGTACCCCTCCCATAAGGCGTACACGATGCCACCCACTCCACAGACACCTAATGGTGCTAATCAGCAGTTCTACCTGACTCAGTGAGGCAAAGGAAGCATGAAAAGCCCACCCTACCTTTCTCTCCAAAGATCCAGCGTTTGTACAGGCTGCTGGCGAAAACCACTGGGGCTTGGGTGAAGGACATGAAGAAGTCGCTGACGGCAAGGTTAATGATGAACATGTTAGCCGGCGTGCGAAGGCTGCGGCTCCTGCGGAGGCCAGGTTATTGAAAAGCAGATTACTGGAGGTCTTTGTGGAAAACTGGCCTCTTACCTCTCCTTAGACAGAATTCTTCACCTCTTCTTGGGTCAGGGACCCACCTGTCCAGTGAAGCCTGTGGACCTCTTCTCAGAACGACATTTTTTAAATGCATAACATAACACACTGGATTTACAAAAAACAAACAAACAAACAAACAAAAACTTGATGATACTTGGATATAATTTTTTTTAATAAAAATATTTTTTAAAACTCAAGTTAATGGACCCTAGGTTAACGTATCCCCAGTGGAAGAAGGCAAAGAAACTCACCATTCAAGGTATAGTTATCATTATATTAAGGTTACTTAGGGAAGTTGAGGCAGCTGGGCGGTGAAGTAGGTAGAGAATTGGATCTGGACACATAATTTAGATGTGTGACGCTAGGCAAGTCACTTAACCTTGATCTACCTCAGTTTCCTCATCTGTAAAATGGAGGTAAAAAAATAATACCTGTCTCATAGGATTGTTGTGAGGATTGAATGAGATCCTATATGTAAGCCTTTAAGTGCTATGTAAATGCTAATTATTATTGTTACTCTTATTGTTACTAAGTGGGGAGACCTTTCTACCCAAGGATAGCCAGTGACCCACTAACTACCTATCACTCTCTTGGAAAGATGAATGAGATTCCCTGGAAGAACCCACAACAGTTAGTAAAGTCAACGGCCCAGGATGTAAACGTGGGGATTTCTGATCAGCTCTTCCTAAATAATATCAGTTGAGCCAATCTATGGGTTAGGTTCTACGTACATTAATAACAGAATATAAGCTTGTTGAGGGCAGGGACTGTTTCATTCCTACCTTTGTATCCCTAGCACCTGGCACATAAGGGATGATTAGTAAATGCTTGCTCATTGATTCAGATAAGAAACCTGTATTCTTGGAAACAAAGTAGCTGCCCATAAATTGGGGAACAGCTAAACAAATTGTGGTATGTGAACCTAAGGAGGGTTGATTGCATTGGAAGAAACAATGACTACACTGAATGCAGGGTGGCATAGGAAGACCTGTATAAACTAATGCAAAGCGAAGAGTGCAGAACTAGGAAAATAATATGCACAACGACTGCAAAAGTATAAGAGGAAAGTAGAAGGACAGTGGGACAGCAAAACTGAATGCTGTGAAATTGTAATAACCCAGCTTGGCCTCAGACATAAGACATGAGAGCATTCCTTCTCTCCTTCTTTACGGAGGGAGACCGTGGGTGTGGAACACTGCCCATGGCAGATTTTTGTAATATATTGGTTAGTGTTAGTGAACTCTTTTTTCTTCCTTATTATAAGAGACAGCTCTCTGGGTACAGTGCCTAGCACATGGTAGGCGCTTAATAAATGATGGTTGATTGCTTGATTGGGCAGGGGTCAGAGGACTACAGGGGGAAACGTGGGTAAAGTATAAAACAAATGATAGTAATCAAAACATTTTCAAAAAGAGACTATGTTCCGTCAGCTTGTCTATTTCCATGTTTCCTGGTTTGATTTTTTTCCCTCCCTTAAGTTTCTTGGTAAACATTTCTTTTGAAAAATTTCAGCCTTGAGTTGGTAAGATGGGATGGCAGGTGCTGCTTTGGGATGTGAGAGAGTGTCTCCTCAGCTGTTCTCCCTGTGGGGTCACCAGATTTGGAGAGCAGTTCATCTCGCTGCCCTTTCTAGCATGGTACCTGGCAGGACCCCGATGTTCAGAAGGGTGCTATTGATTGTACCGGTGACTTAGGGGCAGAGAGTTTATATTTTTAATGTGCTCACATATGTTCATGTTGCCTCTCCCAGCACAGTGTTCCAGGCCTACTAAGGGGTCAACCACTCTGCTAGGTACTGGAGATTCAAAGAAAAAAGTTAGAGTTTCTGCCCTCAACAAGCTTACATTCTATAGGAAGAGACATTGTGTACAACATAGACTCGTGTAAATCTATATATAATCAACACATGGCATTTACAACTCAACAGATGTGCAGAGCATTGACTCGGGTCCTCTTCTTTTGTGCTAGAAGGCTTGCCTAGAGTGGAACAAAACTTTGGAGAGTGATTTTAGGAGCCACAGGAGGAGGTGGAGAGGGTTGGGGCTTAGCCCTTTATAAATTATCTTGACTATTTCCCCCCACCCCACCCCTGGCTACTCAGAAAGGGCTTACAATGATTTCTCTCCCCATTTTTTAAATTTTATTTTATTGTTTTGTTTTTTTGTGAGGCAATTGGGGTTAAGTGACTTGCCCAGGGTCACACAGCTAGCAAGTGTCAAGTGTCTGAGGCCAAATTTGAACTCAGGTCCTCCTGACTCCAAGGCCAGAGCTCTATCCACTGCGCCACCTGTCTGCCCCCTTCCCTTCCCATTTTTGAGGGACAGCAGGAGGTGTGAGACTTCCTTAGGAAGGGCCAGCCAAGGATTTCTCAGATCATCAGGCATTATTGACCTTGGGGAGATTGGGCAGTGCCTTTGAGGGAGGAGGGAATAACAATGGTGATGATGACAATAGCTAGCATTTTCATAGTGTTTTAAGATTTGCAAATCAGGGGGCACCTAGGTGGCGTGGTGGATAGAGCATCAGCCTTGGATTCAGGAGGACCTGAATTCAAATCCAGCCTCAGACACATAACACTTTCTAGCTGTGTGACCCTGGGTAAGTCATTCAACCCCATTGCCTAGCCAAAAAAAAAAAAGATTTGCAAATCACTTTTCTGTATTTTCTTATTTGATCCTCACAATAATCCTGAGAAGCAGGTGCTATTGTGATCCCTATTTTCAGATGATAGGAAGGGTACAAGGGAGCATGTGGGTGGCACAGCGCACAGAGCGTTGGACTTGGGTTTGGGGAGACCTGAGCTCAAAGGCAGCCTCAGACACTTGCTAGCTGTGTGACTCTGGGCAAGTCATTACCTTTTTCAGCCTAAATTTCCTCATCTGTAAAATGGAGATGATATAATACTACCTACTGCCCAAGACTATTGTGAGAATTAAATGAGAAAACATATGCAAAGTCCCTTGCAAACCTTAAAGTCTTATTTAAATGCTATTACAGATGAGGCAACTGAGGCACCTAGAGTTTAAGTGACTTGATGGGGTCTCACACCTGGTAAGGATCAAGAAAGAGGAGTTAAACCTGAAGTCCCCTAGACTCCAGGTGCAGTCCTCTATTTACTCTGACACTTAGCTGCCCGGGGGACCGCAGAGGGGACAATGATGCTTCAGTCAGCCATGGACATAATACCAGTGCTGCCATTTCAGCGTTAGGCATGTTCTGGCTGAGAGATTAGTGGTGGTAGACAGAAAGGAATCCTGCCAGCTAGCAGGGGAGGTGGTAATGGAAATGTTGAAGCCAGGCTTTAGTGAATTTTTGTGCCTCTCGTATTAAACTATTACCCCAAACATGTGAAGACTTCCCTCAGCAGAACAGGCAAATGAGAACAATTTATTCCAATGAAAGTGGCTGAAAGTGGCATTGGTTGAATGGAAAAGGAGGTACAAAATCTCACTGAAGAAAATTATTCCTTAAAAATTACAATTGGACAAGTGGAAGCTAATAACTCCATAAGACATTAAGAAACAATAAACCAAAGTCAAAAGAATGAAAAAATAGAAGAAATTGTGAAATATCTCCCTGGAAAAATAACTGACCTGGAAAACAGATGGAGGAGAGATAATTTAAGAATTATTGAATTACCTGAAAGCTATGATCAAAAAAAGAGCTAAGACATCATATCTCAAAAAATTATCAAGGAAAACTTCCCTGATATCTTAGATCCAGAGGGTAAAATAGAAATTGAAAGAATCTACTGAACACTTCCTAAAAAAGATCCCAAAATGAGAACTCCCAGGAATATTGTACCCATATTCCAGAGCTCCCAGGTCAAGGAGAAAATATTGCAAGCAGCCAGAAAGAAACAATATCATGAAGCCACAGTCAGGATTACATAATATTTAGCAGCTTCCATGTTAAAGTTTTGGAGGGCTTGGAATTTGATATTCTAGAAGGCAAAGGAGCAAAGATTACAACCAAGAATAACCTACCCAGCAAAACTGAATATAATCTTTCATGGGCAAAAATGGATTTTTAATGAAATAGAGGCCTTCCAAGCATTCCCAATGAAAAGACCAGAGCTGAATAGAAAATTATCCTTCAAACACAAGACTCTAAAGAAGCATAAAAAGATATTAATGAAAGAGTAAACATAAGGGTCTCAATAAAATTAAATTATTTACATTCCTATATAGGAAGATGATACATGTAACTTCTAAGAAGTTTTATCATTATTAAGGCAGTTAAAAGGAGTCTACATAGATAGAGGGCATGGATGTGAATCAATTGTGTGGATGATTTGCAAAAATATTAAGGGGTCAGAAAGGGCTGCACTGGGAAAGGGGGGAAGGGAGAGGTAAAATGGCGACTTTTTTCACCTCAAAGGCATGCAAGGAAGAGCTTTTACAATGGAAGGAAAAATTGTGGGGGGGGACAATGCTTGAACCTCACTGCTCATTGGAATTAGTTCAAAGAGGGAAGAACACATAAACAAAATCAGTTGGGTATAGAAATCTATCTTACACAATAGGGAAATGGGAGGTGAAGGGGACAAGAGAAAGGGGAAGGGATGATAAAAGGGAGGACCGATTAAGGGAGGCAATGGTTAGAAGCAAACTAGACTTTCCAGGAGGGCAGAATAAAGAGAGAGAAGAGGAAACAGAAGAAAATGGGATAGAGGAAAATACACTGTTAGTAATCATAACTGTGAATGTGAATGGGATGAACTAACCCATAAAATGGAAGTAGCTAGAAGAGTGGATTAGAAACCAAAATCTACTCATATGTTATTTACAAGAGAAACACTTGAAATGGAAAGACACACATAGAGTTAAAATAAAAGGTTGGAGCAGAATCTAATGGGCTTTAGCTGAACTAAAAAAAAAACTGCAGGGGTAGCATTCATGAATTAGACAAAGCAAAAGCAAAAATAGACTTAATCAAAAGGGATGATCAGCAGCAAGGTGGCTACCTATGCGTATCATGGGAGACAAGCTTTCAAGTCTACCCCAAAAATCTCCACATCTACCTGAGTGTCCTTGGATGACCCAGGGTCCCCTATTTCTAAGGCCAAGGGTTCAGAGGAGCAGAGCAGATGGGTCCTCTCTGTCAATGGGACCTGCTTTTCCCTGTTGTGCAGGACTCCAGGGTTGTCTGAAGGCCCTCATTCTGCTGACCTGGTCTGCCTGGAAGTACCAATGGAGAGAGGCCTTCTCAAGAGCAAGGAAAAATAGAACCCCAAGTAAGGCCATATGTGCTGGGAGTGCTATCCATAAACAACGGAAGGTTACTCTCATTGGAGATTATTGTGAAGGGGCCGGTGACTCCTTGTCAGGAGATGTGGAAGGGACTCTTGGTCTGCAGTGGTTGGACCAGATGACCTCTGAGGGCCCTTCCATTAGTCTGAGAGGTCTGCCATCTGGCCGGATATCCAGGATGTCTGGCTGTGCTGGGACTGAAGAGTAAGGGTAGAGTAGGAATAAATATGGTCAGCTAGGTGGCACAATGGATAGAATGGAAGGCCTAGAGTCAAGAAGACTTATCTTTCTGAGTTCAAATCTGGCCTCAGACACTTACTAGCTGTGTGATCTTGGCAAGTCACTTAAATCTGTTTGCCTTGATTCCTCATCTGTAAAATGATCTGGAGAAGGAAATGGCAAACTACTCCAGTATCTTTGCCAAAAAAAACTCAATGAGATCCCAAAGAGTAAGATATGACTGAAATAATTGAATGTCAAAAAAGGGATAATTGGGGAAACTACATTTTATTAAAAGGTACCATAGACAATGAAGTAATATAAAAAAATTTTTACGGCAAGTGTATCTGATAAAGGCCTCATTTCTCAAATATATATTGAGTATAGAACTGAGTCAAATTTATAAAAATAAGAGCAATTCCCCAATGGATAAACTGTCAAAGGATATAAACAGACAGTTTTCTCTTCTGAAAATCAGAGTTATCTATAGTCATATGAAAAATGCCCTAAGTCATTATTGATTAGAGAAAAGCAAATTAAAACACCTCTGAGGTACCACCTCGCACGTATCAGAAACAAATGATAAAGGGGATGAGGGAAAATAAGCATATTAATGAACTGTTGGCAGAATAGTAATTTGGTCTAACCACCCTGGAAAACAATTCGAAACTATGCCTAAAGAGATATAAAACTGTGCATACATTTTGACTCAGCAATACCACTACTAGGTCTGCATCCCAAAGATATCAAAGAAAAAGGAAAAGGAAAAGGACCTATATGTACAAAAATATTTAGAGCAGCTATTTTTGTGGTGGCAAAGAACTGGAAATTGAGGTGTTGCTCATCGATTGGGGAACGGCTGAACAAGTTGTGGTATACGGTTGTGATGGAACACTATTGTGCTATAAGAAATGACAAGGGGAGGGTGGTTTCACAAAAATGTGGCAAGACCTATACAAACTGATGCAAAATGAAGTGAAAAGAATCAGGAGAAGGGCAGCTAGGTGGCACAGCGGATAGAGCACTAGCCCCGGAGTCAGGAGGACCTGAGTTCAAATCCAGCCTCAGACATATAACACTCACTAGCTGTGTGACTCTGGGCAAATCATTTAACCCCAATTGCCTCACCAAAAAAAAAAAAAGAAAGAAAAGAAAAGAAAAAAGGAAAAAGGAAAAAGGAAAAAAGAATAAGTAATAAGTTAAAAATAAAATGATTGCTGATTTAGAGCTGGAAGTATCATCATCTAGTTCAGTCTCATTTACAGATGAGAAAACCGAGTCTCAAAGAGGTGTGACTAAAGGTGACAGGAAGCAAGTAAGAGATGTGGGATTTGAACTTGGGTCCTGGGACTTCAAGTTCATAACTCTTTCCCCTGTACCATAAACTATTACTTTCCTTTCTAAACCAATGATTCCACTTCCTCACCCCCCTCCCCAGAACTCTGATGTTTCAGGCAAGAGGAATTCACCATATCAGTGTAAGAATGGATTCCCATGAGAAAGGGGCATGGGAGGTCTTGGCTACAACAGGTTATAAAGAAAATGGAGGCCTATGAAGGCCAAGCAGAACAGTGAGTTCCAAGAGCTCAATTCACCAGGATATCACGCTAGCACAGCTGTCTGACCTTGGAAGGGGAACAGTTTAAAGACCTTTCTTAGAACAGTTGGGCCTGACCTTGGGGAAAATTTTATCTATAAAACAAAAGTGGATAGCAGAATGGATTAGAAACCAGAATCCAAAATTTAGCTTAAGGCCTTTGATTCAGTCACCAATGGGATGGGACTGGAAAGAATCCCATTCATTCTCAAATTCAGGCCAGGCCTGGCCTTCAGCAGCATTGAGAGTCAGAGAATTGTCTTTGGTCCTTCCTATATCCCCATTTCTGCCCCCTTCCCTCATCCAACATGCCCCCCCCATGACTTCTCCAGTTCTTTAATGCTTCTCTGCCCTCAGGTGAGGGAGGAAAGTGACTGAGGAACTTATTCTCCACAGAGGGATGAGGGAATGACTGAAAGGGTTCTGCATGTGTGTGTGTGTGTGTGTGGTGTGTGTGTGTGTGTGTGTGTGTTTGGAGTATCACAATGTAAGAGAAAAATTAAGAAGGGGCAATGAAGATGCCCTTGCCACCCAAAGAAACAAATACAGCTGCTCCTGCTATGAGCCAGAGGCATCTAAAGTTACCCAAAATCACAGAATTTTTCCAAATTGGAAGGGACCCCAGTGGGCACCTAGTCAATCCACATCTGGAAAAGAATTCCCGTTATGATACACCTGATACACCTGGCCATCCAGCCTTTGTCGGAAGACATCCCTGTCAGAGATACTTCATTCCACCTCTGTTAGGATGTTTCTCCTGCTATTAAGCCTGAATTTGCCTCTTGGCAGCTTGCTCCAAGCTCTCTGCCCACCAGCCCTGTTGGCCATTTCTATGGCCTGGGCAGCCTCATTCATTACTTTTAGTGAGTCTTCCTCACATACCAGCTGATCTGAGGATCCCATGAGTTCTCTTTCCATTTTCCCTGCTGAGTGTGAACCCAACTCCCTGTGTGCCCAGGGCCAAGTACCTGCAGAATGTGTAGATGACCAGCAGGTTTCCCAGCACTCCTGTGAAACCCACGACCAAGATGATAGCACCAATGGTATAGTGGGCATGGTCCGGGACGTCTGCTGTAGGGAAGATATTCCGGAGCTGGGTGGCAACCCCACTGCCTAAGGAGAGAGACGAAAAGAACAGAAATTCATAGCCCTAAAAGAGAGCTCAGAGGCCATCTGTTCTAACCCCCTCATTTTGCAGATGAGGAAACTGAGGCATGGTGAGATTAAAGTGAGAGTGTGATGAGACTCTGCTGGGGGAGAGCAGATGGCCTAGTTTTCTGGGAGCAGGGGCAGACAAAGAAGACTCTGTAGAAGGGAGAAAAGGAGGGAGGTGCTTTCTGTGCACTTCTCCTGCCAGCTCGTCTCCAGACGGCATCTCCAGCCTCAGTGCCTCCTGTTGGAAGCAAAGAATGCCCTACGGTTTCATGCTTTAACATGAAGTTAATACAGGCTAAGATGATGAGCACATCGTGGAAGGATGAAAATACTTCCAAGTAAGAGACTACTTTCTTTTTTTTTTAATTAGGAGTCAGAGAATTATCTTTCCTATATCCCTATTTCTTTTTTTATTATTAAATTTGTTATTAAATTTTTATTAAATTTATCAAATTGACTACTTTTTATTCAATTTTCTTTTCTTTTCAGATTTGCATTCTGTCTCTCCCGCCTCTCATTCTCTCCTCTCCTTGCCATTGAGAAAGCGGCCAATCACTTATTTCTAATCAAGCCCCTGAGACTTCCATTGCAAAGACTCCAGAGCCAGTAACCGTGGAAAACCACCAGCTGGGCAAACAGGCTCCCATCTTCTTAATTCCCAAGCACGACTGATCTCAGATTCCTCACCTAGGGCTTTACAGAAAAAAATTCTCATAAGACTGACCCAGAGTTAGAAAGACACCTGAGGAACCTAAGCTTCTTGAAAATCTGGTGTTAGGGAAGCCCCGGGGCTGGTCTCGAATAATTGGGCCTCTAAGGAGGAAAGCTAATCTTCAGATTGAATTAGAAAAAATAATTCAGACCACCCAAGATTTTCTGAGGCCCAAGAAAACATTCTACTTACCTTCTCTAATAAGAACTCACATTCCAATGAGGCTTTAAGGTTAATAGATGCCATCACTTACCAACAAACCACGGAGGTGGGGCAAGTAGGCTTTCTTAAATGATTTTTTGACTGCACTTATGATTCCATCAGGAGGCAGCGTGGCATAGTGGGCAAAAAGCTGGCCTCAGTCAGGATGACACATACTGATTGAGTGACCATGGGCAGAGCGGGTCCCAGTTGCTTTGATAGAGAACTCTTCACTCAGAGTTCTCCATTGGGATGAAATCACAGCGCAAGCATTGATTCTGATTTTGGAGTTTTGTGTCTTGCCCAGGTCATCTAGCTAGGTGACTAGAGCTAGGACTGGAAACCAGGTTTTTCTTTTCAATAATTAAATTTTGTTTTCAAATGAAGCTCCACCTTCTCTCTTTCCTCTCTCCCCTCTCCCTCCGACTCAAGTGAATCCAGCTTGTTCTGACTCAGAATCCAGCTCTCAGGGGCAGCTAGGTGACACGGTGGATAGAGAACCGGCCCTGAAGTCAGGAGGACCTGAGTTCAAATCTGGCCTCAGACCAAACACTTACTAGCTGTGTGACCCTGGGCAAGTCACTTAATCCCAATTGTCTAACCGAAAAACAAACAAACAAAAAAGAATCCAGCTCTCCACACTCTCTTTAGTCCAGTTCCTATTGCAAATGAGGAGCTAAGTGCATTAAGGTCATTGGAAGAGTTTGTTTGTTTTTTTAAAATAGGCCTAGGAGAAAATTTAAGACAATTTCCAGGCCTCCTCCATTTCCCTCCAGCATTATCAAGATATCAAGATAATGTAGCCCAAATCAGCTTCTTTTTTGAGTTGGGAGTAGGAGGGGGGAAGTCAAGTCTAAGTCGGGCTAAGTGCTGGCAATATAAAGAAAGGTGAATATAGACCCTGCCTTTAAAAGGCTTACAGTCTAATGAAGAAACAACAGGAACTAGATAGATATAAGATCTATCTAGAGTAGATAGAATGTCCTCTAAGAGGGGAGAGCATTGGAGGAATCCCTTCCTCTTTTGAGGGGAATCTGAAGTCTTCCTCCTACCTTCAAGTAGGGGAAGCAACTTCATACAGCCCTGGTTTTACAATTAAAGGACCTGAGTTCCACTCCCACCTTTGATGCTTACTACCTGAGTGAGCTTGGGTAAAGTACTCACTGCCTTGAGACTCAGGTTCCTCACCATACAATGAGAGGGCCGAGCCAGATGACTCAGAAGGTTCCTTACACCTCCAGGTCTATGATCAATGATCTAATGACAACCGGGACCTGTGCCCCAGGCCCCTTCCTTCTCCTGGTGAAGCAAACACGATCCAGCTCACCTTTTTTCTCCTCTAATGATAATCCTTTACACCTGGACACTACTTTGCACGTTGGAAAATATATTCACCTCTGTTATGACATTTGATTCCAACCCACCTCCCCAGGAGTGGTGCAGGGCATGTATTCTTACTCTGATTGGATAAATGAGGAAGTCTCGTTTATCCCAAGAAAGTCTTGCTATGCTGTGGATTCCTGACGGAGCTGAGATAGGGACCCATGCACTAAACCTCTAAGCGCTGCCTTCCTGCCTCCAGAAGCGCAGTGGAGCATGGGCCGGTAACAGAGGGTAATGACCTTGGGAGGGGAGGGAGAGGGGGATCTTCCCCTGGCAGAGGTTTGTGGCTGACTGGGATTGATCCTCTTCTGGCTGGAAGCCGCAGTGCTGGGACACGGCTGAATTAAAACAACAACGCTATCCAGCTCTCATCCCATTGGAGGAAAGCTGGGGAGAGGTTAGGAGCTTCCATCAGCCAGGCTTGTAAAGGGTAAGAATTTAGGGCAGCCCCTGGCGCATGATTATCCAGGTAATCTGGCCCATGCACATTTTCTTGTCTAGCTCCTGTGCCTTGAACATAGTAGGCATTTAATAAACGTTTGTTAAAATGAATTTAATGTTCTGAGTAACCCAGACCATCTTTTCTGTGTAGCCCAAGCCCAGGGGCCCCTGAGAGTAGGGGGAAACTCAGTGAGAGAGTACAACAGCACGAAGAAGGGAATAGCGCTGGGAGGTCGTGAGGATCGAATGATGCCGTGGCGGCGAGGTATTTGGCAAACCCTAAAGTGCTACATAAATGTCAGTTGTTATTATCATCATTTCCTTCTTGCTGGGAACATGCCTGTGTGAGACGGAGGCTGTCCATCCAGAACTTCCCTTTATGCTGCCCCAGGGAATCCCCCCCCCCACCGGGGGGAGGGACACTGTGAGTCATTCCCTCCCTCCTTCCTTTGCTTTTAGGGGATGACCTTAGTTTTGGCCACATGGCTATCGATCTCTCTGCTTTGGTCACTTTGACTTGGACAGGAGGCCAACTATTAGAGCAGAGATACATAAAGGTATCATGGGGAATAACTCTCCCGGACTGGTGGCTTCCTCCTTTCTTTATAAAGTGATCTAGTCCTGTTCTCCCCACTCCCTGTAAAAACTAGTTCATAGGATCGTAGATGTACAAGGGACCTCAGAGGCCATCTTGCACAACCCCCTTATCTTACAGATCAAGAAACAGGCCTGAACTGAGGTGAAGTGGCAAAACCAGAGTCTGGCATTGTTTTTTGCTTTTCTCTGTATCTTTAGGTCTTAGCACAGTGCCTGACTCATAGTAAGGACTTGATAAAGGCTTTTTGACTGACTGACTGATGCCCACGTGACCCAGTTATTTAAGGGTCCAAGGAGGGACTTGAGGTCAGATCTTCTGGACTCCAAGGCCAGCCCTCTATGCTGTTCTACCTATATCTATCCACACTATCAACATCTTCCTGCCAACCTCTTGCCCTCCTCATTATCTGGGTTCTGAACCTCTCTGGAGTCTCCTTTCTTCTCTCCCACATCCCCTCCCTCTTCTCTGAGGGGAGGACTGGCTGAGTTCCAGAACCAGTTACGGGCTGTTCCTCCCTCACTTCTCCTTCCTCCCCCTGGCCCCCAAGCCCTCCAAAAAGGAGAATTACCTTCTGAAAATATCTGCCCTTCTTACAGTAAGTTCTAGGAAAATCTGATTATGTAGCATGGAAAATTTGACTCAGCCTTTCAAGGCTGATTTTGTATTGCTCACAACCCCAGCAAAGATGGTCATCTAGATAGATAGATAGATAGATAGATAGATAGACAGATGGCACAGGGTGAGTTGAAGACAAGGAGGTGATATCTGGAGAATAAAATTAAGGGGAAAGAGAGGATTACACTAGGAGGAGAAAGGGAGAGGTAGAATGGGGTACATTATCTCGCACAAAACAGACAAGAAAGGTTTTTACAATGGAGGGGAAACAGGGGAAGGTGAGAGGAAATGAGGGAATCTTGTTCTCATAGGATTTGGCTTAAGCAGGGAATAACATACACACTCAACTGGGTATGGAAATCTGTCTTACCCTACAGGAAAATAGGAGAGAAGAGAGCAGGGGGATGATAGACAGAAGGGCAGATTGGGAAAGGGGTAATCAGAAGGAAGTACTTCTGAAGAGAAACAGGGTCAAAAGAAAGAATAGAATAAATGGGGCGGAAAGGATAGGATTAAGGGAAATAGAGTTAGTTTTTCACAATATGTCTACTATGGAAATGTTTTGCATAACTTTACATGTATGGCCTGTATTGACTTGCTTGCCTTTTCAATGAGGGTGGGTGGGGTGGGAGGAAGGGAGAAAATTTGGAACCCAAAGTTTAAAAAACACATGTTTAAAAAAAATGTTTCCACATGCAACTGGGAGATAAGAAATACAGGAAATGAGGTACAGAAATCTATCCTGCCCTACAGGAAAATAGAAGGGGAAGGGGATAAGAGAAGGGGGGGAGAGATAGAAGGGAGGGCAGACTAGGGGAAAGGGTATTCAGAATGCATGCCATCTTGGGGTGGGGGGAGGGGAAAGATGGGGTGAAAATTTGGAATTCAAAATCTTTTTTTTTTTTAGGCAATTGGGGTTAAGTGACTTGCCCAGGGTCACACAGCTAGTAAATATCAAGTATTTGGTCTGAGGCCGGATTTGAACTCAGGTCCTCCTGACTACAGGGCCAGTGCTCTATCCACTGCGTCACCTAGCTGCCCCCTATGGAATTCAAAATCTTGTGGAAGTAAATGTTGAAAACTAAAAATAAATAAATTTATATTAAAAAAAAAAGAGAGATGGGCATCTTTCCTTGTTCTCCACCAAAAACAAATAAACAAAGCATGTCTCAGTGAACTCCAGTGGCTCCCTATTACCCCGGGAAATAGGAAATCTGCTATTTGGCTTTTAAAGTCCTGTACACGCTGGCCCCCTCCTCCTTTTCCAGTCTTCTCTCACTTCACTCCCCTCCACGTACTTCACATTCCAGTTATACTGGCTGTTCCCAGTACAGGGCACTTCACCTCCCAGCTCAACCCAGGCCTTTTCACTGGCTGTTCCTCATGCCTGGAATGCTCTCCCTCCTCCTCTCTACTTCCTGGCTTTCTCTGTCTCTGTCTCTCAGTCTCTGTCTCTCTGTCTCTGTCTCTCTCTGTCTCTGTCTCTCTCTGTCTCTCCCTCCCTTTCTCTCTGTCTCTCTCTCTCCCTCCCATCCCTTATCTCTCTCTTCCCTCATTTCTCTCTTCTGTCATCTATCTCTCTCCCCACATCTCTCTCTGTATGTCTCCTCATCTCTCTGTCTCTCTCTGTCTCTGTCTCTCATTGTCTAGCTGTCTCTCTGTCTCTGTCTCTCCGTTTCTCTGTATCTCCCCATCTCTCTCTCTCTGTCTCTTTGTCTCGATCTCTTCCCATCTCTTTCTGTCTGGCTGACTCTCTGTCTCTGTCTTTCTCTGTCTCTCCTCATCTCTCTCTGTCTCTGTCTGATCATCTCTGTCTTACCCGCCTCCCCATCTGCTAGTACCTTCCTCTCTGAAATTACCCTCCTATTGTACACATCTGTACCTATCTTGCAGATTCACAGTTATTTGCATGTTGTGTCTGTCATTAGAATGTAGCCTGTCAAGCTCAGGGACTGTGTTTTTGCCTTTCTCTGTACCCCTAGCACTTAGCTGAGTGCCTGACACTAGTAAGCGTTTGCTAAATTCTTGTTACGAGGGTCGTTGATGATGAATGTGCTTTCCTGCCTCTGCCTTTGTTCACATTCCCCTCCATACCTGGGATGCCTTACCTCACCCTCTTCACCTATTGAGGCAATGGGGGAAAATTCTGCATCTGGAATTGGGGGCCGGGGTTCAAATCCTGGCTCTACCACTTACTGATTGGAGAAGTGACTTAACCTCCATGGACCTCAGTTTCCCCATCTGAAAAATGTGGGAGTTGAATTAGATGATCTCCAAGGTTCTAAATCTATGCTCCTATGAGGACAGATCACAGGAATTTAGGATTAATAGAATTATAGGTGAAGTTAAGTAACTTGCTTAGTGTAACACAATAATAGATAGAGGGGCTAGGAAAAGTCTTGGTGCAATCTAGTAAAGCTTCCTTCTGTAGTTGGGGCTTATTTATTGCCTGCTGGCTAAAGTTGAGATAGGGACAATCATCTTGACCTCCTTCCTTTAGCAAGGTATTAGAAAGATGCCAGAAAGGAACTCTACCATGCTTTTGTCCCTTCTGAAGAGGAAGATGACCATACAGCCACACCAATAAAGTTCCATGATAGCTTAGGGGAAGATCTGGGGTCCTTGTTCTGGGTCTAGCAAACTAGGTGCCCAATTCGGATTCTAGGGCTCTCCCTTCATCAAAAATCTCACCATCTTATTCCCTCAAAGATGCTGTGGGGGAATTCCAATTCACCATTCTCATGCTTGACTCTGGGGGGACTCTGCCCTTTTCTGAAATGGCTGACTTGACAAAGAGTAATTTTCTAGATGCTTCATTGACCTTTACTGACCATCTTTTTTCACCCTCTGATCTAGGAACTGTTACCCTGGCCGGCTCAGGTGTAGAGTGGGGATGGGGAAAGTTAGGGAAGGTGCAAGTACCATCTGCCTCCCAGATAGCTATGGTCTAATAGGACCAAAAAATGATTCCATGACCTGACTTACCGTGGGAGTAATGGGAGGAAGACTGACCACATGGTAGGAATCCACTTCTGTGCTGTTCCACTCACTGATGGAGGTCACAATCTTGGTGCAATTGGTGTTCTGAACTGGGCAGGAGAGACCCCTTAGCCTGGGAGAAGGATTCATGTTGAGAGGGCAACATTCATTGCTGCTGCCCTTTGGGAAGATACTTTGGCTTAGCTCAAAGCACCTACATTCAGTCCTGGTTCATTTGCTGTCCCCTGGCTTCTCTTCCTTTTGTCCACGGTAGACTTCAGGGCTCTTTCTTCCCAGAAAGTGAGACCCTGCCTTGGGCTGCTCGGTGGAGTTTTGTGACTGTGTCACATCAGCAGTCCAGAAGCTACAGCAGCCAGGGTCTGCCCCTTTAAATATCAAGGCCTGAGGGACTGGCACATGCCCAGTCAGGACCTTGGTCAACTGCATCAAACTGTAAATGTTATCCTTAACTAACAGCCTGGTTTGTGCTAACATCAGATGAAGGAAGGTGTGTATGTTTTGTGAGCAGACGGAGAGGGAGCTGAGATGGGGGTGTGCCACAGCTGGTCCAAGAATTAGTCCTTGATGGTACATTTGTGGCTGCTGGGTGACCTCACCCTCCCTTAATCTGTAGGGAAGAGGGCAAGTCAGGCTTAGAGATGGGAAATTCAGGGCATCTCAGGACTTAAGCTAGAACCCGACAAGACTATTTAGTTGGGAACTGGAGTAAGGGGCAGTGATGGTGAATACTGATCCATAAAAAATCAGTTCTAGGGGGCAGCTAGGTGGCATAGTGGATAGAGCATCAGCCCTGGAGTCAGGAGGACCTGAGTTCAAATCTGGCCTCAGACACATAATACTTCCTAGCTATGTGACTCTGGGCAAGTCACTTAACCTCAATTGCCTCACTAAAAAAAAAAAATCGATTCTAGTTCTCCATGAAGAAAAATGAGGGATCATCAGAAAATCATGATGCCAGGTGACTTCCCGGGCACATTCCCCAAAGCCTGGGGCTAGTGTTTCTTATTATTTGGGAAGGTTTGACCAGAACCACATCTCCCTGAGTCTGCCCAGGATGATAATTGTTACTGGCCCGATAACCATTTCTAGAGTTCCAATTCAATGCTGAATTCATTCAGAGTCGCATTTAAGGGAAACTCTTGCTTTGGCCAGGTCAATCTTCTCGTGTCACTGGCTAGAGTAATTTTTTTACAATAGCCTCTGGGCATAAAGGCCTGAATAGCCATGCTCAAGCATAAGCGGGTCCACAAGGTTCCCATCCAGCAGATTAGAATCTGGATTTGTATTGACAGGAGATCAATTCAATAATTGTATCTCACTAGAGACCTTCAAGTGATGGGTCAGTCATAGATCTCAAGCAGGAAGAGGCCTCAGATGTCTTATCTCATCCAAATGCCTTGCTTTACAAACAGAATTCCTGATGCTCAGGAAGATACTCAAGGCCATAAGAGAATCAGTCAAGATTTGAACCCAGGTCCTCAGACTCAGTGCTCTTTCCACTGTGCCTCCTGGTTGACCAATGGGTAGAGATTGACTAGAGAGAGATGGGGTTGGGCTAAATGACCTCCTAAGTCTCTGATTCTGGGACTTGTTCTGCTTTGCCTCAAAGAGCAGAACTAGGGAGAATGGTGAACTAAGAGAGAAAGAATAAGCGAAGCTTCCCTCACCATCAGGGCTCTTGTACTGTGCAGTGGACTGCCTTGGGAGGGGTGGGTTTCCCCTCACCAGAGGTCTCCATAGCAGAGACTGGATGGGAGTCTTGTACAAGGGATTTTTATTCAATTACATGTTAAATGATGTGACCTCAGAGGTCCCTGCTAACTCTGATGTTCTGTTATTTTAAAGAAAGACCAAGAAAACATTAGCTTCTAAGAATTTAAATAAGGCGATAGTTAGATAGATGGATGGATAGATAGATAATAGATAGATAGATAGATAGATAGATAGATAGATAGATAGATGATAGATGGACATACAGACAGACAGATAGATGGATAGATAGGTAGACAGACAGACAGACATATTTAATGAAGACATCTGATTTCCTGGTCACTGACAAACGCCTGTGATCTGTGCAATGTCCTGGCTTTCTGCCCACCCACGCACACTTCACATCCACTCAGACTACCAGCAGGCATATGGTTATTGTTTTGCCTCTACACCTTCGGGGAAGGGGTCAGTAAAGATAAATGGACCATTAACAGATGCGAGAGAGTCAACAAACCTACAGAAATGGGGGCAGGTGTGTTCAGTTCCAGAGAAAGATAAAAACCAGTCCAAAGGTCAAAACTAGAAATCCTAGAGGTAAAATATTCCGGAAAACAAGCTTTGAGATTGAGAACATCAAGTCTGAAGTCAGCAGCAGGATTAGTGTAAGTGGCATTGGATTATGGAGAGGAGAACAATCCCAGAATCCCAAAAGTTCAAGGAAAGAACTTCAGGGGTGGTCTAGTCCAACACATGCCTGGCCATGGACGGTTCTCTGGATTAAAATCACACAAAGAACCTACCATTTGATATTTACCTTGTATGTGCTCTCTCTCTCTCTCTCTCTCTCTCTCTCTCTCTCTCTCTCTCTCTCTCTCTCTCTCTTTCTCTCTCTCTCCTCTCTCTCTCTCTGTCTCTCTCTCTCTGTCTCTCTCTCTCCCCCTCCCCTTCTTTCCCCCTTCCTCTCTTTCCCTATCTCCCTCCTTCTCCTCTCCTCTACTTTCCTCTTCTTCTTCTCTCTCTCCATATCTATATCTATATCTATATCTATATCTATATCTATATCTACACATAATATGTACACAGACAAGTAAATACATTTTGGATATAAATAATTATTATATATTTATATATATGCAAATTCTATATGTTTACTTATCTGTATATAAAATACATTTTACATATAAATAAATATATATTTACTTATTTTTGTACATGTTGTTTTACCCCAAAAGATATGATAGAGACATAAAAGACGTAGAGATAGATAGGTAGATGGAGGGATATAGGGATAGAGACAGATATGATAAATACAGATGATAGAGATAGAGGCTAGATATGATAGATATGATGGCTAGAGATAGATAACTATGATAGAGATATAATATGATAGATGGATTTCATGGGCAAATAGATAAGAGATTTGAGGGAGACATAGAGAGAATATTTATTAAGTAATTACAATATGCCAAGCACTGTGCTGAATGCTGGGGATACAAATATAGGAAAGACAGCCCCAGTCCCTACCCCCAAGGAGCTTCCCTTCTAATGGGGGCAGTTAAAACATGAAGGGGGAGGGACATGGTGTGGAGGTAGCCTAGAAGTGGCTTGGAGTCCCAGTTGTGGGTAAGATAAGGCAAAGCTCCTCCGTAAGAGCCTGGCCCAGAGCTGGGGGTCCAAAGTTGAGAGAAGAGGATGAAGACGGGAATGATGGCATGGGAGAAGGCAGCATGGGTGAAGACAGCCAGTTGTGGAGGCATGGCTCCAGGCTGTCAAGGCCTGCTAGAAGCTTTTTGAGGGCCAGGACTGTGTCAGATTATTATTTGTTTGTTTGTTAGTTTTGTCCTCGTATGTGTCTAGCATGGTGCTTGGCACAAAGCAAACACTTAATAGGTAGCATGGTGAATAGAATGCTGGACTGCGAATCATGAAATCCTGAGTTCAAATGTGGCCTCAGACACATACGGTTCGTATTGGTGCATATCAGCCTCAGTTTTCTTATCTATAAAATGGGGATAATAAGAGCACCTATTTCACAAGGCTTGTTGTTAGGATCAAATGAGATGATATTTTTTGCACTCCTTAAATTGTCACATAAATACTAGCTTTCTTTTTTTTATGTTATTATTACTGATCATCTAATTCAAAGTTGAAGAAAACCTCAGGAGATTAAAAAAAATTGTAAAATATAGATTCCAGAGTTGTACTGTCTACTCTAACCTGATTTCCTGAAGCTTTCATTGTCATGGTTTGCCCACTCTGTTTCCATCTGGGGCTGGTATTTCTCTGACTCAGCCTCCACTACTAAGCCGTTTACCTACCAATCACCTTTCACCCGCAGATACCTTCCTGGACCTTGAGGTAGTCATTCAGTGGAATGTTCCTACAAGACCTGTGTAACTTATAGAGTATGCACGTTGCCTGCTCTCGTTTCTGTAGGTACTGGTAGCAGCCTCATCATCTCTGTGAATCAAGGAAAGGGTGATGGATGAGGCCTTGTAGGAACTGGTCTGTGGTTGGGATCAGTGCAACCACAGTGGACGTGGACTGGGTAATCTCATCCTTTCAGGAAGGCCACCAGGCCTACTATCTTCCCACCCATTTTTGAAAAGTTTCAGTAGGTGCAGTGGTAATGGGAGAATAGTCAGATCTGGTCTCCTATATTCAACCATAGTTTGTATAAAAGGGCACTTTCTAGGTTCATGTACAGCCTAAGTTGTAACAGAATTCTGTGGGTGGGTGTTGCACTGGAGATGCTGTCTCCAGGGTTCAGTTTATGTCTTCTGTTTGCTCATTGGTCAAGGAATGATGTGCAATGGAAAGGTGAATCTTTATCCTAAAGGTGATATGATAGGGCTGTGCAAAAACTAGGTGCCTGATTAGAGGGTCTGTGAGAACACTGGCAATGGTTCTGGATGGCTTCTTTCAGAAAAGGGTGAGTGACTTTGGCCTTCGTAGGAGGTTTAGCATGTGGGAAGGCATGATCCTTTTAGACGAGCATGCCTACTGCTAGCAAGATGGCATCATATCTGAGACAAGGGCAAGTCTGTGATGACATCTAACATGACTGTCACCCAAGGTCATGAGGGAAGTTGACAAGGGTCAAAACAAACTTGTTGGTCAACCCACTCGGTCCCTGGCCTGGATGCCTATTACAAATGTACACATTTGCCAGCTGACATTGTACTAAAGTTGTGATCAGAAGTCATGGGTAACCACGTGTCAAGTCTTGAACAGGCCTCCATGGTCTGCAACTAGACTGTCATGGAAGAGATGGACTACTGATCACTGAATCCTTTTTTCTTCCAAATAAATTCCTATTAACACTTTTCTTTTTACATCATCTACTTATCCTAAAATATTCCTCTTCTCCTCCCCACCATGAGAGAGCTTCCCTTTATAATGGAGAATAAACAAGAGAAACAAAAAAAAAATTTCAGCAAAGCCAACATGTAATGGAGAATAAACAAGAGAAACAAAAAAAAAATTCAGCAAAGCCAACATATAAAAAAAAATTCTATGCAATAATACTTGATCAAAGTCCCTCCCCTCTGCGAAGAAGCGGGGTGAAGTTCCTTCTCATATCTCTTCTTTGGAGCCAAGCTTGATTGTTATCATTTCTCAGCATTCCATTTTGATTGTTTTATTGTGGTGGTTTTTTCACTTTACATTGTAGTCATTGTGTAAATTGTTTTCCAGGTTCTGCTGATTCTACTTTGCATCAGTTCCTATAAGTCTTCCCATGTTTCTCATAGTCATGATTTCTTAAGGCACAGTAATGAGGAAGAATCTCAGTTTTAGGCCTGGGGCATGTTTATGCAAAAACCTGGAGGCAGATGATGGAATACCAAGTTCATGGAAGAGCAAATATTGCAGCTGGGCTTAAATTTAGAGTGCATAAATGAATCATTCAATCAATAACACTTATTAAGCAACCACTATATGCTAAGTAGTGTGTTAGGTGCTGAGAAACACTAAAACAAAAACGTAACAGTCCCTATTTTCAAGGACTTTCTATTCTATTAGTAGAAACAACATGAAAGTATAAGGTCTATTTGGTTCCTTTGCACATTATGTGTGTGTCTATGTGGTTTTGTCTACATGTGGCCTGCAGAAAAGAGTAAGTGGATATCCCCCAGAGTCTCTTCCACCCAACCTTCTCCAAAGAAAACTTTGATACCTGCCTGGAGGCAAGCAAGAGATTAAGGCCATAAAGAGAGGAAACTAGACTAAAATTATATCTATCCATCCCCCTTAAATGTTGTTGGTCTCAGGAAAATAATTTTTATGTTCAACCTATGCTCCTGATTATTATCTCTTAACAGGGAAGTAGTGCCCCATCCTATATCTGAAGGCTTGATTTCCTTCTCACTAAATGAGAGCTACACAAAGACCATCACACACAGTGAATAAACCCATTTATCCAAGCTGATAGCAAATAGAAATCAGAGAAGTGATATGTATTAAAACATACCAAACAATACGCAGAATAAACAAAATCTCCCACTGGGAGAATGAGATAGTGAGAGAGACACACAGAGGCAGCAGCAAACTGGGAATAGGAGCATGGCTGAGACATTGAGTCCTCTTCATGTCTGCCTCTCCCCAGGGCCTTTTCCTACAATGAGCCTAGAACCTCCTGTCAAAGTTACAAGCCAGAAGATCGAGATCTCTCCTCTCCCAAGGTTTTATGAATTCCACCCCTTACTCTTCACGCAGACACAAAGTACTAAGAATTATTTTCTCCACCACTTAGGCAAATGCCAGGTTTGAACCCTGGATTACACATATGTGATTAAGTGCAAAATACGTAAAAAAATTAAACTTCAATATACAAAGTAATTGCAAGATGTAGGCAGCATTAGCAGTTGGGAGATGTTGGAGGTAGCATTTGATCCGAGTCTTTAAGGAAATTAGGTATCGTAAGAGTTAAGAAAAAGAATGGAAAATAAGGCTGCCAACGTAAGTGAGAGCCGTATTACTGGAGGCCTTCAGCATTTGCCTGAACAATCTATGTTTTATTCTACATGCTGACTTCCTCCCTTCTCTCAAGATCTGAACAGTATTTGCACATCTCCAGTCTTCTAACACCTCTCTCATTTCCCTGCATACTTAAAGGTCACAAGTAGCAGTTCACTTATCACATCTCCTAGATCTTTAGTACCTGGAATATAATTCACCTGGGAAAGGAGATAAACTTATTTAAAGTTACTCCAAGTTGGCTACACCCCATCATCCTGTGCTGTATCTATTCCCTCAAGGATTTCTGCAGTGAAATGTCTATAGACATTCTACCTGTTTTGGGCTTTATTTCCCTCTTATTTGTGTTTTTGTTTTAATTTTTTTCCCCTTTGGTGAGGCAATTGGAGTGAAATGACTTGCCCAGGGTCACACAGTTAGTAAGTGTCAAGTGTTGGTCTGAGACCAGATTTGAACTCAGGTCCTCCTGACTCTAAGGCCAGTGCTGTGTCTAGTGTGCCACCTAGCTGCCCTGCTTTATTTCCCTCTTAACCAAGCTTGGTCAATCTTTTCCAACCTGAGGATAATTGTTCTGGACTGAGGAGATATATGTTTTGCTCTTTCTATCCTCCCTGAGCAATGGACCTTTCCCTTTCTTCTTCTTCTTTCCCTAAAATGGAGTATTTTTTTTTAAGTTTTTGTTGCCCTTGGAAGTTTTTATAAGCCTCAACACATTCTGGGCTTTGGGCTTTCTGAACACCACCCTCATAGCTCCAGGCCACCTTCACATTTTTTGTTCTTGGTTAAGTATCTTTCCTTTTATCTTTCATCCTGCTCCATTTAAAATATGAGCTCACTGGAGAGCTCCCTGTGCAGTCATATCAGCCTCCTTAGCTATCTCCTCCCTTTCTTCTTCATTAGGATGATTTGTGATGATGACATTTCTATTTTGTTCTTGAGTTTTGCTCATCATCTTAAAACAGTAATTAAAAAAAAAGCAAACCCCTCTCCTTTTGGAGTCTTGGGTCACTGGGCTGTATTTCCCAAGTTTCTGAATGCGTTCTGATTGACTGCCCTGGCCCAGCAGGTCTGGATAGTTTCTGGATTGCTGCTGACCTTCTAATTCTGTTATGACACTGTTATTCTCCAATGGCTATCCCAGGGGAATGGCACCCCGGAGCTGGTAATTGGCCTGTGCTATTTTTAATTACTGCTGTTTGGTTTTCAGGGGATGTTTTCATTTTAACTTGTATCCCGAGGCATTTGAATGGTCAAGAACATGGCACTGTGAATTAAAAAATAATAATAAAAGAAAATAAACACATTACTTTCATGTTTTTCTCCAAGGATCTTCTGTACTCATATGTATATGCTTTGCGGATGGGGTGGGGAGGTGGTGGTGGAAAGAGGATAAAGTAGTCTTTCCATGGAAGGAGTTTTCCTCTCTCTCTTTGTTCCAATTATTCCTGAGTTACGAGGTTGTCCTGGCTTCCCTGTGTGTTATTCAAATACAAACCTACGACAGTGTCAGAGGTCAAACTTCCCCAAGGTTTGCCAAGGTATAGGCATTGGGCATTTCTTACACCTAGAAATTTCTCTTTGAAAATTAAACACCTTGAGGCAGCTAGGTGGCTCAGTGGATAGAGCACTGGCCCTGGAGTCAGGAGGACCTGAGTTCAAATCCGGTCTCAGACTTGACACTTACTATCTGTGTGACCCTGGGCAAGTTGCTTAACTCCAATTACCTTAAATAAAAAAACAAAGAAGAAGGAAACCTCTTGACCTTCTAGGACCCTATGTCCTTACCCTGGACTGCATATTCTTCATGCCAGTCCTTTGAAACGCTTCACTGCTGATGACTAGGGCTTATCTATACGCAACAAATACTTTTAAAGCCCCTACTATGGGCTACATCCTGTGTTAGGCCCTGGGAATGCAGACACAAATAATAAAACAATCCCTACTCACAAGAAGCTTCCTCCTAATGGAGCAGACAACAAGGACATACATTAAGTATATTTAGAATAAATATAAAGACAGTAAATGCAAAATGGGTAAAGGTAAGTTAGTTTGAGGAGAGAGAACTAGCAGCTAGGGGATGAGGAAGGGCTATGCATCGAAGGAAAAGAGGGATTCTATGAAGAAGTGAGAGTGGATGGTATTCCAGGCATGAGACACAGTCAATGCAAAAGCACAGAAGTAGGAGTTGGGCTCTGGAAAAGAGAGAAGGTCAGTTTAACTGGATTCCAGAGCATGAGGGGAATAATTTCAATAAGGCTGGAAAGATAGATTGCAGCAATGTTATAAAAGGCTAAAAGCTACACAGGGGAGTTTATATTTTAACCTGTAGGCCACAGAGAGCCATTGGAGTTTGCTGAGTAGAGAATGCCATGGCCATATCCATATATAGTTATTTGGGGAGCAGTGCATGAGATAGGCTGGAGTGGTTTAGAGACTTGAGGCAGGGAGACCATGATGAAGTTGTTGTTACTGTCGGGGTCTGGGGCAAGAAATATTGGGGGGGTCGAAACAGAAAGATTTCGCAAATGAATGGATGTGCAGCTGTGGTGAGGGAAGATGAGGAGTCACAAACTTTGAAGACTAGAAGGAAGGTGGCACTTTTGACAGAGACAAGGAAGTCTGGAAGATGAAGATTTTGGAGGAAAGATACTAAGTTCAATTTTGGCCATGTGGAGTTCAAGATATCTCCAGGACACCCAGGTCCAAAAGGCAATGGGTGATATGGGACTGAAACTCAGGGAAAAGACGGGCTGGGTATGTAGAGCATATATAAATAATGTTGCTTATGTTGCCCAAGCTGGAAATAAAGATATATGCATCATCATATGTCTTTATGCATATCAATCATATATGCATAGAAATTGTATTTAAATTAATGAGGTCACCAAATGAGAGGGTATAGAAAAAAAGAGGGCCCAAGGAAGAGCATTAGAGAGCACCCAGAGTTAAAAGATGGAAAATGGATGATGAGCCAGCAATGATGCCTGAGAAGTAGCAGTCTAGGGGCAGCTAGCTGACTCAGTGGATAGAACACTGGCCCTGGAGTCAGGAGGACCTGAGTTCAAATATGGCCTCAGACACATAACACTTACTAGCTGTGTGACTCTGGGCAAGTCACTTAACCCCAATTGCCCTCACCAAAACAAAAAAAAGAAGTAGCAGTCTAAGAGATAAGGAAGAGAGCCAGGAGAGAGGTATATCACAAAAGCCTATCAAGGAAGAGGAGGAGAGAGTAGTAAATAGAATCAAATACCCTAGAGAAGCTGAAAAAGAAGGTAGATTGTTCATAAATGTCAGACATCTATTCTCTGTCCTCTAGCACAGGTGTGAAAATATTACTAACCCTCAAAAAGCTAACTCAGTTCAATGAACATTTATTAAGCGTATAGGATGTTCATAGGTTAGTGCCAGACTCTAGAGAGAGATACAAAAGTCAACAAGGTGTCCCTTGCCCTCATGAAGGGGGTGATGGTGGATGAAATGGAATATGGTAAGTGCATAAGTAAAATTAGAAATGCTATTTGAGAAAGATAATCCCCGACTGGGATATCAGCAAAGGGTTTTTGGAGGTCAGAGGATCCTACATCAAGACAGGGAAGGTCTCACTCTTAGACCATAGAGGTCACTTATCTAATGCTCCTATTTTCTCCCCCCCCACCACCACTTAATAGTATTTTTTTTCCGATTACACGTAAAGATAGTTTTCAACATTCGTTTTTATAAGATTTTGAGTTCCAATTTTTTTCCCTCCCTCCCCCCTAACCAAGACAGAAAACCGTCTGATATAGATTATACATATACAGTCATGTTAAACATATTTCCGCATTAGTCATGTTGTGAAAGAAG